ATGACGTTGTTGTATTTAGATCTCTGTTAACTGTTTATGAAGAGATGCCAAGGGTGGTTCAGGCTCTTCTTGGTGGTTTTTTATCGTTGGCCTGTTGCTTGTCTGCTTGTTCCCCAGCCACGGTGCACAGTCCACGCGGTCCCTGGCTGGCAGGGTGATTTTTCGGGAAATATCTTTCCTGTCTTTTTAATGACCTTTTGCTTTCTTCATGTATGATGTCTTTGATGTCATCCCACAGCTCATAAGAAGCTCTGGTGGCATAGTGCCTAAGGCATTTTACTGCTAACTAGGAGGGTGGTGTTTCAAACCCACCAGCCACTACTCGGAAGGAAGACTGGGCAATCCACTTCCATAGTGATACTGCCTCAGAAACCCAAGGAGGGGGTCACTATGAGTCGGAACCGACTTGATGGCAGTGAGTTTGGTTTGGCTTTCACAGTTCATCTGGTCTTTGGTCATTGGTGTTTAATGCATCAAAACTGTTCTTCAGATGATCTCTAAAATTCAGATGGCATATACTCAGGGTCATGTTTTGGCTCTTAAGGATTTGTTCTACTTTTCTTCAGTTTTAACTTAAACTTGCATGTGAACAATTGATGGTCTATTTCATAGTCAGCTCCTGACCTTGTTCTGATTGATACTGAGCTTCTTCATTGTCTCTTTCCACAGATGTCACCAATTTGAGTCCTGTGTATTCCATCTGGCAAGGTCACCTTTTATATTATTGTTATATGTATGTTGTTGTGTGCTGTCGAGTTAGACCCGACTCATAGTGACCCCTCCTTGGGTTTCCAAGGCAGTATCACTACAGAAGTAGATTGTCCCATCTTCCTTCCGAGCAGTGGCTGGTGGGTTTGAACCTCCAGCCTTCTGGTTAGCATTCAAGTGCATTAGGCACTACGCTAACCAGAGCTCCTAGTCACCATTTATATTATTGGGAAAAGATACTTGGAATAAATAACTCATTGGTCATACAAATTTCTGTCATGCAATCTGCAGCATCATTTCTGTCACCAAGGCCATATTTTCCAAGTACTGATGTTTATTCTTTGTTTCCAGCTTTTGTATTCAAATCACCAGTAATTATCAGTATATCTTGACTGCATTTGGTCTATTTCAGACTGCAGAAGTTGGTGAAAATCTTCATTTTCTTCATCTTTAGCTTTATTGGATGGTACATAAATTTGAATGTTAGTCATATTAACCAGTTTTTCGTGTAGGCATATGACTATTATGCTATCACTGACACTGTTGTACTTCAGGGTAGATCTGAAATGTTCTTTTTGACTATGAATGCGACAACATTCATCTTCAATTTGTCATTCCCAGCATAGTAGACCATATGATTTTCCAATTCAGAATGGCCAGTACCAATCCATTTCAGCTTACTGATGCCTAGGGTATCAATCTTCATGTGTTCCATTTCATTTTTAGTAACCTCCAGTTTTGTTAGGTTTGTACTTAGTACCTTCCACGTTCTGATTATTAATGAATGTTTGCAGCTGTTCTCATTTTGAGTCATGCCATATCAGCAGATGAAAGTCCCAAAAGCTTTATTCCATTTATATTATTGAAGTCGACTCTACTTAGGGGAAGTATCACTTCCCCAGTCATACTTTGAGTGCCTTCCAACCTGATGGGCTCATTTACCAACACTATATCAGGCATTGTTTCCCTGCTATTCATAAGATTTTCAGTGGCCATTTTTACTCAGAAGTGGACCTGGCTGTGTCTTCCTTCCTATCTGTCTTAATCTGGAAGCACCGCTGAAAGCTGTCCACTGTAGGTCACCCTGTTGGTATTTGAAACACTGATGACATAGCCTCCAGCATCACACACAATCTGCCACAGTACGACAAACTGACAGATGAGTGGTAGAATGGCTATGTTGTATTCTGTTTTAAGTATATACCATAGTTTTTTCAGCTCGTTCATATTTACTTAACATTTAGATTATTTTCTGTGTTTCACCTTTATAAACAATACTGGGATGAACATCTTTTTAGATAATTATGTTGTGTACTTCCTTCCTCCTCAAGATAATAGAGAATTCAGTTCATTTTACAGTTAAGCAAACTAAGGTTGACAGGGGTTGAAGCCAAATTAAATGACTGGTTAGTGGCCTCTCTGGAATTAGAATAGAGATTTTCTTGTTCTTTTTGTTACATCTAATTTTTTGATCCTTAATTGTTGCATGAGTTCATATGTGTGTTCCCCACATTAATTAGTTAAAGTATTACCAGTTAAAAATAGTTTTGTAAATCCAGTTCTGACTCATAGCAACCCCATGTGTGTCACAGTAGAACTGTACTCCACAGGATTTTTGAAGCTGTGAACTTTTGGAAGCTTGCCAGGCCTTACCTCTGGCTGGCTTTGAACCACCAGTTTTTTGTTTGTTCAGCAGTTAATTGTTTGTGTCACTCAGGTATTCATGTGAATGTAATTAATTTAAGTAAATTGTATATTTACAAATGGTTAAAATGGCAAAGTTTATGTTTCATACTTTAACATAATAAAATTTAAAATAAATAAATAAATAAGTGAGACTTAAGTAAGTATCTGTTAAGAGTCCTAGAGGAGCATCTTCCCTGTTCTCCCCTCCCCTGTGTCCTCACCACTTCCTTCTAGTCCCCCACTCACTGTCCTTCTTCCCCTCTCCCTCTATCTCTCAAATTTTGGTGATGTTACCTACTAAAGAGACCAGGAAAGAGTTGCATGGCAAATTGGCTTCATCTTGAGTATTGTCTCTCAGCTGTTGATGAATGCTGTGCTGAGGAGGATCCTAAACGGCTGCAATAGAAGAGACTCAGTGTAAAATAGTAAACTATTATCACAGTCTTATTATTTTCATCATATACAGATTTAATAGTGGCATCCACAGAATACTGTTATTGGTCTGTTTTTTAAAAAATACGTTCTGAAATTATTCATTGTCCCTTTGATAAAATTTAACAATCCTTCTAGAGATAACCTTTAACTAAAAAAGCCAAAAACCAAACTCACTGCCGTTGAGTCGGATCTGACTCATAGCGACCCCTCCTTGGGTTTCTGAGGCAGTATCACTATGGTAGTACTTGCCCAGTCTTCCTTCTGAGGAATGGTTGGTGGGTTTGAACCACCAGCCTTTTGGTTAGCAGTCAAGTTCCATAGGCACTACGCCACCTATTGTCTTATTTTAACTCTGTTAAGATATCATTTGCAAAGGTGTAGTAAAAATTACACTTTAAATACAAACATTTTCTGCTGTTATTTTATCTTTTAATGACATTGCTTTTTCTCTCAATTATCTGTTAGGATTTTTTCTGTGAATTTAGTGAACAGTCACCTTGTGTTCTTTCAAGATCTCTATTACAAGTAAGTTTCACTTGGAAATGAAATCCTTATATAAACATTAAATTATATGTCTATTAACGTTTTATTGATTGATGGAACAAAAAGTATATTCTTTTCAAAGATATTCTACTCTTAGTATTGTATTTTTAAATGAAAATACTGACTTAACAGTGTTAAACATTCATCAAAATTCCATCCTGGGCTCTACAAACTGTAATCATTTAAAACAATTAAAATCCTGAAAAGAATGTTCTTTAACCACTTTGAAATTAAACTAGTACTCAATAAGAGAAATATATCTAGAAAAATCTCCAATATTTGGAAATTAAATAAGACATTCTAAATAACTATGGATCAAAGAAGAAGTCTGGATAGAGTTTGAACTGATAAAGTGAAAATACAACATTATCAAAATCTCTGAGGCACAACTAAAGAACTGCTTAGAGGGGCATTTATAGCATTAAATGTTAATATGAAAAAGGAAGAAAGGTCTGAAATTAATAATCTAAGCTTTCACTTTAAGAAACCAGGAAAAGAGTAAATAAAAATCAAAGCTAGCAGAAGGGAGGAAACAATAAAGAGCAGATCTTGATGAAATAGGAAACAAACAAAAACTCGTGGGTTTTAGAGAGAAAATTAATGCATCCAAAAGCTGGTTCTTTGAAAATGAGAAGAAAGTTGATAAACCTCTAACCAAATGAGAGAGAAAGAGAGAGAGAGGCAGGCAGACAGACAAATGGCACATATGAGTAATGTCAGGAATGAAAGAGGATATTACTACAGATCATATAAACCTAAAAACCAAACCTACTGCCATCAGGTCGAGTCCAACTCATAGCAACCCACATTGGGTTTCCAAAGCTGTGAATCTTTATAGAGTTGATTGCCTCATCTTTCTTCTATAGAGCAGCTGGTGGGTTTGAACAACTGATCTTGTCATTGGTAGCTGAATACCTTACCCACTATGCCTCCAGAGCTCCCACAGAACATATAGTCATTAAAAAGATAATATGGGAATACTATGAACATCATAAATTCAAAAACTTAGATGAACAAATTCTTTGAAAGATACAAACTACCAAACTCACCCAAGAAGAAATAAATAATCTAAATGATCTTACTATAAAACAAATTCATTGTTAGATAAAAACATTCTAATAAAGAAACTCCAGGCCAGTCTGCAGTCTGTTCCAGAAAGTAGATTAGGCAGAAATACTTCTTAACTCATACAAGGGCAGCGTTACCTTGATACCAAATGAAACAAAGACATTGCAAGAAAAGAAAACTACAAACTCTACTATCCCTTGTGCATGTAGACACAAAAATCTTTAGCAAAGTATTAGCAAATTAAATCTAGTAATATATGAAAAAAGATAATGCATTATGACCAAGTGACATTTATCCCAAGAATGCAAGGGTAATTCAACAGTGAAAAATGAATAAATATAATTCACCACATAGTCTAATGTTTTTTAACTTCTGAAATATTTGACAGAATTCAACATCTATTCATGATGAAAATTCCTGGTGAGCTAGGAAGAGAACTTCCTTAACTTGATAAAATATGTACACAGAACCTACAGGCAGACATCATACTTAATGATGAAAGACTAAATAGTTTTCCCCTAAGATTGGGAAGAAGTCAAGTTGTCTACTTTTAGCACTGCTATTTAACATCACAGTGGCAATCTTCACTGGTGCAGTAAGTGAAGAAAACGAAAGAAAAGACTGGGAAGGAAGAAATAAGATTCTCTGTTTACAATGACATGATTTTCTATATGGAGTCCCAAGGTGTCTACCAAAATGTTCCTAGAACTGATTGGTGAGTTTAATGAGGTCACAGGATATGAGGCAAACATACAAAAAGCAATGTGTTTCTATGTACTTGGAATGAACAATACCCCAAAAAACCCACCGTCGTCAAGTTGATTCCAACTCATAGCAAACGGGTAGGACAGAGTAGAATTGCCCCATAGGATTTCCAAGGTGTAATCTTTATGGAAGCAGAGGCAGATTGCCACATCTTTCTCCTGTTGAACAGCTGGTGGGTTCAAGCTGCTGACCTTGTGGTTAGAAGTCTAGTGCTTAACCATTGCTCTGCCAGGTCTCTGCACAGTGGACATTGTTGTTGTTATTAGGTGCTGTTGAGTTGGCTCTGACTCATAGCAACCCTGTGTATAACCAAACAAAATACTGCCTGGTCCTATGCCATCCTCACAATCCTTGCTGTGCTTCAGCCCATTGTTGGGGCCACTGTGTCAGTCCATGATGTTGAGTGTCTTCCCCTTTTTCACTGACCTTCTATTTTACCAAGTGTGATATCCTTCTCCAGGGACTGGTTCCTTCTGACATCATGATCTCAGTGAGACGAAGTCTGGCCATTTTCTCTTCTGAGGAGCATTTTGGCTGTACTTCTTCTAGGATAGATGGACAATAGGAAATTAAAAATTTAAAAACAGTGCTATTTACAATAACATCAAAAACTTAGGTATACACTTAATAGCTTATGTATAGGACCATTATGTTTAAAAACTATAAAACACTGATGAAAGACATGAAAAAAGACCTAAATAAATGGAGATAACTTACCTTTTTCATGGATTGGAAGGATTGCTATTTTTCAAATGTCAGTTATTTCTAAGTTGATCTGTAGATTGAAAGAATCCCAGTCAGAATCACAGCAAAAATTTATATAAATGTTGTCAAACTGATCCTAAAATTTAGAAAGGCAAAATGAAATAGCCAAAACAGTTTTTGGGGAAAAAAAAAAAAAAGGAACAAAGTTGCAGAACTCATAACTACCTAACTTTAAGAGAGATGTGGTATTGGCAAAATATAGTCACAGAGGTCAGTAGAACTGAAGGAATGGCTAGAAATAGACTACTACGGTGACTTGATCAATAACCAATATGGTTAATTAATTTTGACAAAGGTACAAAGGCACATTAATGGAGAAAGGATAATCTTTTCAACAGATAGTGGGTGAACAATTGGACATGCGTATGCAAAAAATGTATTTAGAATGGATCATAAGCCTAAATATAAAATGTGAAACCATAAAACTTAGAAGAAATGATAGAAAATATTTGCAGTTTTGGGGAAAACAGTCATCAAAAGCACAATCCAAAAATTTTTATATTAAACTTTTATTCCATGAAAGATACTGTTAAGAAAATGAAAAGAGGTACTACACAGTGGGAGAAAATATTTGCAGAGCATAGGTCTGACAAAGGACTTGTGTTTAGAACACACAAAGAACTCTGTGAACTTAATAGGAAAACGCACAACCCAGTGTTTGAAATGGGCAGAAAGCTGAATATTTTAAATATGGATAGCAGAGATGCATATGAAAAGATATTCACATCATTTGTATTAGAGAAAGGCAGATTTTAATATTGAGATACCAGCTTTCAGAATATCTTTAAAAACAAATCCAAAACCTAAAAAAGAATGCATTGCTGATAAACATGTAAAATGGTACAGCCACTATGAAAAATAGTTTGGCAGAGTCTTACAAAATTAAACATACTTCTGCCGTATGACCAGCAATATTACTCCTACTTTTTGCTCAAGAGAAATGGAAATTTATGTTCTCCTAGAAAACTTTTTGTGTATGTTTATGGCCAATTATGTTCATAATTGCCCTTAACTACCCATATGTGCTTCTTGTGGCAAAAGGATAAAAGAACTGTGGGACATACACATAGTGACATGCTACCAATAAAAAGGAGTGAACTATTGATAGAATCAGCAGTGTTGATGAATGTCAGTTGCATTATGCAAGGTGTAAGAAGCCAGACTCAAAAGGCTATGTGATCCCATTTTGATGACATTTTAGAAAAGGAAAGACTATAGAGATGGAGAACAGATCAGTAATTCCAAGAGACTCTGGATTATGGATGTGGAGATTATTTACTACAGAGGGATCACGTGAGGGATTATTTTTGGGGTGATGGAATTGTTCTGTGTCTTGATTGTGGTGGTGGTTACATATCTGTGAATTTGTCAAAATCAGAACTGTACATCACAAAAATAAACTTTATGTAAATTTTAAAAATTTTGGATTAGGAATTCAAGCAAGGTATGGCATATTAAATATTAAAATACATTGTAGTTAAGGGAAGAAAAGTAAATGCAAATTTTTATTTTAAATGTACTTTTTTTCATTTCAGAAAGTTTATATGTATTGAAAAGCTTTTATTAGATTATTGGATGACATAATATTTATAGCCATTTAATATTTCATAATTTTTGAAACCCTTTCTCATACATTACTTCATTTGACTTTAGACTTGTCAGTTTACTGACTAATTCAGTGTAATACTACTACTCGTGACTTGGCAGATTTTTTTCTGGACATTTTGTATTCCCCTGCATCAGAGTAAACTTTAAATAAAGATTAATAAGTAGCACCCATTGTAGAAGCAATGATTTATAAAAATTTTCTACTAACTTTTCATATAATTACCTTGGTATTCTGTGCTATTTAAGACCACTTTCCTGGTGGATAACAAAAAAGTCTTTGGAACCCATCTCATGCAAGACATGGTGAAAGATGCACTTCGGTCTTTTGTCAGTCCTCCGGTGCTTTCTCCCAAGTAAGTATTATAAAGCATTTGATAATGTATTTGTTTATGCTAAAGCCCAACTCACCATAATCTTCCTTTAGAGCCAAGTATACAAATTTCTGTTTTTTTTTTTTTTTTTTTAAACAAAACAAACATTAACTATCTCTTTCTCATGTTGTTCAGATTAAAATGAGATTTTTGTGAGACTGAAATTAGGTAGTTATTCAGAAATCCAGTAACTTGTATTGGACCTTTACTTTGTGGATAGCACTGTGCTAGGCACTCTAGAAAACAGTTGTAAAAAATAAGGTCTGTTGGCATTGGTCTGAATCTAGATACAAATCTGAAATGCATATAACTGATACTCTGTTTTGGCAGAGGAAGAACCCTGAAAATATGCTACTATAAGAGGCTGGAACAGATATAATGCAGGAAGAATTAGCATTTGAGCTGGCGTTTTGAGAAATGAGCAGGTTTTTTTTTTTTTTTTTTTTTTTTTTAAATGGGGCAGAAAGAAAGGACTCATTATTTCTTTGCAAAGTAACCAGCATGTGTGAAGACATGGGAGTATGAAATTACATATTGTAAGAATATTTAGTGGTTCAGCATTCTTACCAATAATTTGTTGAATCAGTTACATCACATCTCCTGTAAAGTGCTCTGGTAGCTTCCTGTCTTGGATTGGACTCCCCAGAAGCAGACCCTGAGACAAGGATTCACATAAATATAATTTTGGAAGCAATCATAGCAAGTACCAGCCAGCTGTAGCCAAGTTGGAGATGAAAAAGAAGAAAGCAATGCAAAAATGAAGTGCCTCTTGGCTCTATAGAAAGTAGTTGATTCGGTCCTATATGGGCGCTCCTGAGATAGTGCTGGTTGCAGCTCATAGTTGTCGTAATTAGAGACAAGGCAGCCCACATACCTGTCAGTTAAGGCTGCTCCTGTTGGTGGTGTTAGGTGCCATTGAATCATCTCTTAACTCCTACTGACCTTATGTATAACAGAATGAAATATTGACCGAGCCTGCATTATCCTCACAGTCATTGTTATGTTTGAGTCCATTGTTGCAGTCATTGTATCCATCCATCTCATTGAGTGTCTTAACTTGTTTTTGCTGACAAGGGAGTTTGAATATTTATTGCACACACCTGTCATTTATTGTACAGCCCTGCTCCTGAGAGGGTATAAATTCCCAGGTATTTTAGTGTTTGTTACATTCTCTATTTCATTCAGTAAAAGCCAAAGTCCTTATAATGGCCTACAAGACATAATATGGTCTGGTCTAGACCCTTGTCCTGTTTCTTCTGTGACCTCATCTTCAGCCACACTGGCCTTCTTGGTATTCCTGGGATATACAGGTTCTTTCTCACCTTAGGGCCTTTACATAAGAGATCGGAGATGCTTTCTTCAAAACTCCCTATGGCTAACTCCCTTAACCTCTTTCAAGTCTATTCATTGTCAGTTCAGTGAAGGCTATCTTGGCCACCCTATTTAAGAATTACTTCTTCAGCCACTCAGAAGGGGATCAAAATAGGAGATCCTGGATAGAATGGGAGAAAATTGTGGAACAAAACTCAAAATCATAAAAAAGACCAGCCTTACTGGTCTGATGAGACTGGTGAAACCCCCAAGACTATGGCCTCTAGTTACCCTTTAGGCCTGGAATTGAACTCCTGTGGCTTCCAGGCAAACGATACACAGGCATATGAGGTGAACATTTACACCAGGTAGGTGCACTCCTTAGATCATTCAACCATGGGAGATCAGAAGGGCAGTATTTGCACAGGGAGATAGCTCAGAGGGGAGAATACATGGGAAAGAAGAACACAGGGAAAAGATAACCACAGGGAGAAAGTGGGAAGAGACCTGTTACATTATGGGGATTGTAGTCAATGTCATGAGACAAAATGTGTGTGAACTGTTGTATGGAACATGGATTTGCTCTGTAAATTTTCACCTAAATCACAATTAAAAAAAAAAAAAAATTACTACTACCCTCCACCTCCCAACCAGCACTCCAGTTCTTACCTAACAATTCTCATTTACTGTATAATTTACTTCTTTATGATATTTATTTTCTATCTCCCTTTGCCCTTTGTCCTCTACTAGAATGTAAACTTTACAGAGTCAGGCCAAGTAATTTTGGCAGTTCATTCACTGATAAATCTCAGGTGACAGAACAGTGTCTTGCACATAGTAAGCACTCAGAATTTGAATGAATGGGAATTAGGTGGTCACATAGTTTGGGAAAAGACTTGGGAGAGTCTTGAGTGCTTTGGTAAGGTTTGAACTTTATGATCAGCAAGCAGCTACTTAAGTTTTTAACATGGAATTGGCATAGTTGGATTTGCATTTTGTAATAGGAAACAACCTGGGAGTTGAGGAGCGATGATTGAAGGTAAACAGGTTGTTTGGTGCCTTATACTTGAGAGATGTGATAGGTTGTTTGGTGCCTTATACTTGAGAGATGTGAAGGCTTAGCCTTTGGGAATGTAAAGGAAAAGACAGACTGAGAAACATTTCTGAGGTAAAATAGAAAATGAGACGGAATAGGGGAAGGGAAGGGAAGACAACTAAGTTTTTGTTTAATTTTGTTTTTTAAAAAGCTGATTGTATTAATACCCCATAGCATGCTCCAGAATTCAAATAATGCAGAGAAATATATGAAAGATAGTAAAAATTACCTAAAATCTTACCTCTGGGATTTTGATGACCATCACTTTAGATACCTGTTTTGGTTACATAGTTCTGCTCTGATAGGAATATACACAAATGGGATGGCTTTAACAAACAGGAGTTTATTCTCTTAAAATTTGGAGGCTTTAAGTCTGAGTTTGAAGTGCCAGGCTCCAGGGTCTGAGTGAAAGCCCCTCAGCCTTGGGCTTTAGTTCTGCCTCATGTTTCTGGCCCACTGAACCTAGAGACATCTCTTCACTCAGGCATCTGCTAGCTGCGAGGCAGACAAACCCAAGGTCAACAAGTAAAAATGCACAGTCCTGATACTACCAAACCACACAGCAGGCCATTGATTCAAGTCCATTGAAAGTCCCAAAATCAGCAGGGCATGGCAGGCTGCTAAACGATGACTTGGCTATATGCAGGGTTCAAGCATGCCAAAAAGCTGGAGACCTTCCTCAAAGCTGCTGCTTATGTACTGCAAGCAGACCACATCCCTAAAGCAGCTACTCAGCTGTGCTAGTAGATTTCACCATGGAATTGATTGCCAGTCTCACCATGGGAAATAACTGTCTCCAGCTGCTCAGCCACTCAACCGGGCCCAGCCAAGTTGACAGCAACCTTAACTACCACAATATCTTTCTATATGAAGGTACACACACATGTATATGTTGTTTTAGGTGCCATTGAGTTGATTTTGACACATAGCTATCCCATGTGATAGAATAGAACTGCCCCCCAGAAGGTTTTCTAGGCTGTAATCTTTGTAGGAGCGGATCTCCAAGTCTTTCTTGGGGTGGCGTGGAGATGGTGATCCAGGTCTTTCTCTCATGGAGTTTCTGAATGGTTTCAAATCACCAACTTTTTGGTTAGCAGCTGAGTGCTTAATCTTTGTGATACCAGAGTTACTTCACACATTTATAACTTTATATAAATGGGATCACATCAAACAAACTTTATTTATTTATATTTAAAATTGTGATGGGGGTTAATGAAAGTTCACAGAGAAAATTCATTTTCCATACAATAGTTCACACACATTTTGTTTCATGACATTGATTGCAGTCCTCACAATGTAACTGCTTGCTTCTCACTTTCTCCCTGTAGGACACCTTTTCCCTGTGTCCTTCTTTCCTTTGCATTCCTACCCTCTGATCTGTTTCCCTGTACAAATACTGCCCTTTTGATCTCCCATGATTTATTGTTCTAAGGAATATACCTACCAGGTGTCACTGTTCACTTTATATGCGTGTTAATATTTTTTGTCTGGAAGCCACAGGAGTGAGTTCAATTCCAGGGTCAAAGGATGACCAGGGATTATAGTTTCGGGGGTTTCACCAGTCTCTAGCAGATCAGTAAGCCTGGTTTTTATTATGATTTTGAGTTTTGTTCCACATTTTTCTCCCACTCTATCCAGGATCACCTGCACTGATCCCTTTCTGAGTGGTTGGTAGTGGTAGCTGGGCACCATCTAGTTCTTCTGGTTATATGGTTGTATAGGCTGAGGTTTGCATGGTTCACTAGTCCTTTGGACTAATTGTTTCCATGCATCTTTGGTTTTCTTCATTCTTCTTTGCTCCAGAGGAGGAGAGATCAGTTGTTGCATGTAGATGGCCACTTCCAAGCTTTTAAGACCCCACTCACTATTCACCAAAATAGGATGTAGAACAATGTTTTTGTGTAGTGTATTATACAAATTGAGCTTAATGTCCCCCATGACCATGGTCCTGGGCCCACGGTCCAGCAATTTGCTCCCTCAGGGTGGTTGGCTGTGGTTAAGGCGTTACCATAATGTTGCACCCTGTTGGTTCTGTTTATATGGACGTTCTTATAGCACATACAAATCAGTATGTAAATATCACCTGCCAAACTTATATATTGTTGTTGTTGTTATGTGCTGTCGAGTTGGACCCGACTCATAGTGACTCCTCCTTGGGTTGCTGAGGCAGTATCACTATGAAAGTAGATTGCCCCATCTTCCTTCCGAGGAGAACTGTAGCTACTGGAAATAGCATACATATATTGTATGAACAACACAGTAATAGTGGAATATTTCTTAATGTAACACTAGCAGTCTTCAACTTACTAATGGATTTGGTTCCATTTTCTCTATATTCCATTCCCTTATTTCTACCTTCCCCATCTATTGGTGACACTTACAGTAGTCCCTGCTGCTTTTGTCTTGCTTGATTTTAACGAAGTGACTATTACCTTACAGGTGCTGCCTATATAATAATCACCAGGCTAAGGACTGTATTGATTCCTTTGTTACTCACTGTGTTCGGGTAAGAACTACAATTTAGATTTCTATGCTGTGCACTTTAAAAATTACAGGATTTAAATTCTTCGGTATCATTAATTTGTGCTATTTTTCATCTATCATCTCATAATTAATTTCACTGAATAAATAAAATATTTTCATTTCTCTTATTATCTGTACTTCAGTGGATGGCTTCATAACTTGTAGTCTTCCTGGTAAATTGTTAAATTCAGAGGCAGCTTTTGATGACCTGTCACTACATCCCTCAGAGACCACAGAAACGGTTAAGTTATGACCCACAACTTGAAAAACAGCAGTTATATCTTTAAGGTGTTTTGTAAACAGACATGAAAACTTTTTTTTCAACCTTAGGAACAGGTAATATTTGATGTAATATCCTATCCATTTACCTAGTACTTTCTTAATGAACAGGAGGTTAGTAAAATTAAAATTGTTAATTTAGATGAGATCATAAACTTTTTTCAAGTCTTAATTAGGGAAAAATGCAAATCTTTTAATGGATTAAGTTAATTATAAATAATTTTTATGTAATTATTAGTTCTAGAACTCAATCGGGTACCTCTTTTGAGCCTGGTTCACGTTACTATATATATGAGGACAACATGGTATAGTCAAAGGAGAACCACTAGAAGACCAGATTTTATATTTATCACTAGAATATCAATCACTTTACTTTTCTGTAAACTTCTCAGTCTTTTAAAACTTCTCTATACCTCCTCTAAATTTCTTACTGGGTAATTATTGAGCAAGTGAGATTATATCTGTCAAAGTATACAAATATAAAACAATATTATACATAAAAAACTTTAAAATCAGACTTTTTAAATCCATGCATTCTACTGCCCATGCCTTTTTTCTGATTAGTGAAATGTTAGAGTGTTTTATATGGTAATACTACATGGAAGGAATAGGAGTACAAAACCTAGTGTCAAGATCAATAGATATTAGCCATTACTCAAGCCCTGTAATTACTAAGCATTCTCAATATTTAAAGCAGCACAGAAATGTCAATCTTGAACATTGGGTTTTAGCTTGAAATAAGCAGAAGAGAAACTGTCCTTTGGAAATTACAGGGATATATCTAAAAATTGAAGGAAAGTATTTTTGCCCTATGAAAACAAATTTCACAAATAGCTACTTTCTTGTAGTTGTTGATAAATTCTGGTGTTGAAGATTCTTAAAAATAAATGCCTATGTAAAAAAATATGCATAGGCATGAGTTTTATAAGAACAGACCTTTTTATCCTTAAACCAGATTTTGGAGACGTGGTATACATTAAGTTTCTTTAGTATCAGGAAATTTCCTGTTGACAGTTAACAATTTGTGTGTGTATTGCAGCCATTTTGTAGTCTTATTCAGATCCATGGACATAACAGGGCTCGACAGAGAGATAAGCTGGGTCATATTCTTGAGGAATTTGCTACCCTACAGGATGAGGTAAGAGTGAACAAGTTCCCCTCCCTTCTAAAGCAATTCTCACACCTTGTCCAGAGTTTTAAAGAATCTTTGCAACATTATTTTAATTATTTAGTATGTTAAACTTATTTGCCATTTGAAATGTGGTAGTTTGATATAGAAAGAGTTTACCCAAAAAAAAAAACAAAACAAAAATCCAAACTGATGAACATGTTACATTATTTCCTTTATAATCAGGATAAATTAATGAAGTATGTATAGATTTATAATTTTGTAGCAAGAGTGCATAATAAAAATTTTACAGTAATTAAAGTAAAATTGTGAGCAGAAACACTAATTGACAATATAACTAAGTTCCTGAAGTTTGTTGTTTATATTTTGTCCTCTGTAAATTGGATGAGATTTTATTTAGGTTAAGGAATATTTATGTAAATGTTAACCATTGTGAGGTAAGGGACTTGAATGAGAACTTAACCGAAAATGCATTTCAAAGTGTTAGTTCTTGGGTGGTGAGATTTACATTTTCTGCTCATGTGTTATATATAGCTTTTTATTTTTTGTAAGTTCTCATTACCTTTAAAAAAAAAAAAAAAGAAAGTCAGTGTTACGACATTTTATTCTGATAGGCTGAGAAGGTTGATGCAGCACTTCACACTATGCTCTTGAAACAAGAACCCCAAAGGCAGCATTTGGCCTGCTTAGGTACCTGGGTCCTTTACCATAATCTTCGAATTATGATACAGTATCTTCTAAGTGGCTTTGAATTGGAACTCTACAGCATGCACGAGTACTACTACATATATTGGTAAGAGAATAATTTGTGGTACAGTTGATGGTGAGTGAGTGGATACAATCTGCAAAATAGAGTGTAACTTGAGGATACTTTTTTTCATGTAGTCTATTTTAACTTTAATTGTAAGACCATTGGAAAAATACTGAAAATTAGAACTAGATCATCTTGAATTGAACAGCTTTAAAGTGTCATAACACTTGTACAAATAAAATTTTTCCTTACCATTTGATTATTTACTGAATAAATTACTAATGAAAGTAGCTCCAAGGTAAATAGGTTAAAGAGTCTTTTTCTCTTCTTCAGTGGGGGAAGAGGGAAGGGTTTAACACCCGTTCTGCCCTGATTTCAGTGGCACTAGGTACTAATTGTGGAACGCACTTAACTGAATATATACCATATGTGTGAAAGTAGACACAGATTGCCCTGGAGTACTAACTTAAAGGTTGGAAGTTTCAAACCCACCCAATAATGCTAAAGAAGAGCGGCCTGGTGATCTGTTTGTGAAAGGTCACAACCAAGGAAACCCTGTGGAACGGTTCTGCTCTGCACACATGGGGTCACAATAAGTATTAATAGTCAGTCCTGTTCAAATCAAACAGTGTATAAAGGAACATGCTAAAATTCATTCTTGTGTGGTTTGAGACAGCTAATTGAGAACTCTTCTTCTTGATTTCAAAACTCAAAATATATATTTTTTTACATATTTTTGTATAAAGAACTGGGATCTTTACTCAATAAATGAATGATAAATAAAAACTCCATTACAAGGGATGGACACAGAACAGGTAACTATTGGGAGGAAGTGGGAGAGGAGCTGTTGCATTGGGGCAAGTTGTAGTCAATGTCATGAGACAAAGTATATGTTAACTGCTGTATGGAAAGTGAATTTGCTCTGTAAACGTTCACCCAAATCTCTCTCTCTCTCTCTCTCACACACACACACACACACACACACACACACACAAAGAACTCCATTACAAATTCACATATTTGAGGAGATTCATGACCTTTTTTTTTTTTTTTTTTTTTTTTAATTAGGATTTGGGTGAAGATTTACAGAGTAAATTCACTTTTCATACGGCAGTTCACATATACTTTGTCTCATGTCATTGACCAAAATTTACAATGCAGCAGCTTCCCTCCCACTTCCTCCCCATAGTTACCTCCTCCCAGTGTCCATCCCTTCATACTCTTCGAGAGGCCCATTGTCTGCCAACCCTGTATATGATCTTGGATACACTCTCCATTTAGACATACATAATTGTTTAGCTTGTTCACCCATCTATCCGTCCCTATACCCATGTTTGCTTTCATTAACAACTCAATATTGTATTTACAAAGGGGTTCATATTTGTTGTTTGTACTGCCCATGTAACTCTCTCTGTCTTTCTCATCCTCAATGCTGCCATATTGGTCACTCACATTTGGTACATTGCCCTTCTCTTCACCCAAATCAATATTTATCTCTATCTATCTAACAGCATTCCCTCCCCTTCCCTCCCACCCCTGGTAACCAACAAAGAAAATGTCCTCCAATATATAAACATTTCCTTAACTTTTACAATAACGGACTAATACAATATTTGTCCTTTTGTGACTGACTTATTTCGCTCAGCATAAGAATAATAATAAGCTCATGGATAGGAAGACTGAACATTGTGAAAATGTCAGTTCTACCCAAAGCAATCTATACATTCAATGCAATCCCAATCCAGATCCCATCAACATTCTTTAGGGATATGGAAAAAATGATCACTAACTTTATATGGAAAGGAAAGAGACCTCGGATAAGCAAAGCACTACTGAAGAAGAAAAACAAAGTAGGAGGTCTCACATTGCCGGATCTCAAAACCTACTATACAGCCACAGTAGTCAAAACTGCCTGGTATTGGTTCAATGACAGATACATAGACCAATGGAATAGAATTGAGAACCCAGGTATAGATCCATCAACCTATAGTCAGCTGATCTTTGACAAAGGCCCCAAATCCATTAAGTGGGGAAGAGAATGTTTGTTTAATAAATGGTGCTGGCAAAACTGGAGATCCATTTGCAGAAAAATGAAACAAGATCTGTACCTCACACCACACACAAAAACAAACTCCAGATGGATCAAAGACTTAAATGTGAAACCTAGAACTATACAGTTTCTCAAGGAAAATTTAGGCTCAAACTTAAGGGCCCTAATATTTGGTATAAATAGACTACCAAGCATAATTCAAAATGCACCAACAGCAGAAGAGAAGCCAGATGATTGGGACCTTCTAAAAATTAAATGTTTATGTGCTTCCAAAGACTTCTCCAAAAGAGTCAAAAGAGAACCTACAGATTGGGAAAAAATATTTGGTAATAACATATCTGACAAGGGACTTATCTCTAGAATTTATAGAACACTCCAACACCTCAATAACAAAAAGACAAACAATCCAATTAAAAAATGGGCAGAAGACATGAACAGACACTTCACCAAGGAGGATATTCAAGTGGCCAACAAACATATGAAGAAATGCTCACGATCATTAGCTATTAGAGAGATGCAAATCAAAACAACAATGAGATACCATCTTGCTCCAGCACTAGTAGCAAAGTTCAACAAGACAGAAAATAACAAATGCTGGCGAGGTTGTGGAGAGATTGGGACTCTCATACACTGCTGGTGGGACTGTAAAATGGTACAACCATTGTGGAAAGCAGTATGGCGATTCCTTCAAAAGTTGGAAATACAAATACCATTTGACCCAGCCATCCCATTACTAGATATATACCCTAAAGAAGTGAGAGCCATAACAAGAACAGATATCTGCACGCCGATGTTCATCGCAGCACTATTTACAATAGCCAAAACTTGGAAACAACCTAGATGTCCAACAACTGAGGAATGGATAACCAAACTTTGGTACATTCACACAATGGAATACTATGCAACGCTAAAGAATAATGTAGAATCTGCAAAACACCGCATAACGTGGATGAACTTGGAGGACATTATGCTGATTCATGACCTTTTAAAGAAAGAAATTTTAGTTCTGTCTATAAGCACCTTTATGGTCTACTTTCTTAGTAGTTTTGAATTGCTTTTGTCTCAAAGTTACAGATTTTGCTCCTACATTTTTACTAGATAATTGTTGTTGTGTTGTTTATGAATATGATCCCTAAAGCATGTGGACCCTTTTAAAACCAACAGTAAATGGGATCTTAAAAGCTTGCAAGCAGCCATGCAGATGCAATGATGGGTCTCTCTGCATACAGTCCAAAGAAGAATGAAAAGCAAAGACACATGGAAACAATTAGTCCAAGTGACTGGTACACCATCCTCAGCATATACAACTATGAGAGCAGAAGAAAGAGATAACGCCCAGCTACCATTGTCAGCCACTCAAAGGGGAATCTATGTAGGAGATCCTGGATAGAGTGGGAGAACGTTATGGAACAAAACTCAAAATCATTTAAAAAAAAAAAGGGGAACTAGGTTTGCTTGTCTGATAGAGCCTAGCGGAACCACTGAGACTATATGGCCCCAGCTACCTTTCAGGTCTGGAACTGAACCCACTCCTGTGGCTTTCAGCCAAGAAAAATACAGGCATATGAGCTGAACATTTACATTAGGTATATACACTCCCTGGAGAGATCAGTCATGGGAGAAAGAAGGGCTGTGTATGCACAAGGAGAGCTCGAGGGGCAGGAGTGCATGGGAAGGAAGGACACAGGGAAGAGGTAACTATGGGGCAGAAGTGAGAAGGGAGCTTTTGCATTGTGGGAAATTACAGTCAGTGGCATGAGACAGTGTGAGCTTCTGTATGGAAAGTGAATTTGCTTTGTAAACTTCCACCCAAATCACAATTAAAAAAAAAAAAAAAAGTATAGCCAAAAAAATAAATAAAAATAAAACCAACAGTAGAAAACATTGATGAAACTTTTGTGTTCATCATAATCATTTGGAAATTATATTAATACCAGATTAGTGGTCCCATCCCTGGAGTTCCTGATTTAGTAGGTCTAGGATGGTACCCAGTCATTTGCATTTCTAACTAGTCTGCAGGTGATGCTGCTGCTGCCCCAGGAATCACTCTGAGAACCACTGGTATAGAATGTCAGCACCTTGGCTCGCTTTAGGTGTTAAAATTATAAATTAATTTTGGTAAAGCACTTAGTGAAAATTCACTGAGAGAGCAGCCAACTGTCTATCCCCTTCACTTGACTGACTGCCTTTAAATTAGATAATCATAAGGCAGTATTAGCTCCCCTCACTAAGTTACAATATGGGTTACAGACCCCAGATGCTATAGAGTGAAAGAGAAAAAAAATCATTGCCAGGAATTATTTTTTCTCCATATGAAATTATGTACTTTCTTTTATCACGTAAAAAGGTGATTTCCTTAGCTACCAGGAAATATAGTGTTTGGTTTAGCTTTAAAATACAAAACCTTAGTCATTGCAGGTAATCTCTTTTGACTAGTTTTTGGTTTTTAAAATATGTTATGTTTTATGTGTGTTTTACTGTTGTATACTGCCTTAAATCTTTTGGGGAAATTTTGGAAATAGACATTTACTCAAACTTGATCATAATAATAGCTATTACAGATCTTTGATTTTTTACTTACTGTAAAAGTGGTCCTTAATTTTATTTATTATAGATTGTATTTCAAATGATAATATGTCCACATCCTAGATTTCAACTCCGTTTTTGGCTTGTTCTTATTAGGTACCACTGAGTCAGTTTCAGCTTAATAGCACCCTGTGTACAATAGAATGAAGTGCTGCCCGGTCCTGCGCCATCCCCACGGTTGTCACTATGCTTGAGCCCTTTGTTGTAGCTACTGTGTCAGTCCATCTCGTTGAATATCTTCCTGGTTTTCACTGGCTCTCTACTTTACCAAGCATGATACCTTCTCCAAAGTGTGGTCCCTCATGACAACATGACCAAAATATGAGAGGCGTAGTCTTGCCATTCTCACTTCTAAGGAGCTGTACTTCTTCCAAGGCTGCTTTGTTTGTTCTCCTGGCAGTCCATGGTATATTCAGTATTCTTTGCCAACACCATAAATCAAATGCATCAATTCTTTTTTTAAAAATTTTATTGTCGTTTCCTTGGAAGGAAGGTTGAGCATATTTCTATTGAATAAATACAATCTACTTCCATAGTGATTTTGCCTCAGAAACCCAAGGAGGGGTTGCTATGAGTTGGATCCTGCTGGACGGAGTGAGTTTTTTTTTTTTTTTTTTTTTTAATTGTGGTTTGGGTGAAAGTTTACAGAGCAATTTCACTTCCCATATAGCAGCGCCCGTACACTTAGTCTCATGCCATTGACGACTGCAATTTCCCAAATGCAACTGCTCCCCTCTCACTTTCTCCCATAGTTACTTCTTCCCAGTGTCCTTCCCTCCCATTCACTCCTGCCCCCTCAAAGCTGTCTCCCTGTGCATACACAGCCCTTCTGTTCTCCCATGATTGATCTCTCCAAGGAGTATATCTACCTAATGTAATTGTTCAGCTCATATGCCTATCTTTTGTTTGGCTGGAAGCCACAAGAGTGGGTTCAATTCCAGACCTGAAGGGCAGCTAGGGGCCATAGTCTCAGAGGTTCCACCAGGCTCTATCAGACCAGCAAAACTGGTCCTTTTTTTTTTTTTTTTTTAAAATTAATGATTTTGAGTTTTGTTCCATATTCTTCTCCCATTCTGTCCAGGGTCTCCTACATAGATCCCCATCCAAGTGGTTGACAGTGGTAGCCAGATACCGTCTAGTTCTTCTGGTCTCATAGTTGTATAGGCTGAGGATCCCATGGTGTACCAGTCACTTGGACTAATTGTTTTCATGCGTCTTTGGTTTTCTTTATTCTTCTTTGCTCTGGATGAGGAGAGACCCATCTTTGCATCTAGATGGCCACTTACAGGCTTTTAAAATCCCAGTCACTACTCGCCAAAGTAGGAGGTGAAACAATGTTTTTGTGTAGTATGTTATATATGCATCAATTCTTCAGTCTCCCATATTCATTGCCCAGCTTTCACATGCATATGAGGCAATTGAAAATACCTCGGCTTGGGTCAGGAGCACTTTAGTCATCAAAGTGACATCTTGCTATTTAACATTTCATAGCGGTCTTATGCAGTAGCTTTGCCAAGTGCAATATGTCGTTTGATTTCTTGTGCTGTTTCCTTGGTTGTTGATTGTAGAGTCGAGTAAAATAAAATTAACATTCTATCCTGCTTTTTTGGCTTATCAGGATAGAATGATATTTCGAACTTCTGAGAGATCACCTGGTAGGATATTCCTGTTTTGCATTTCTATTGAATAAATACAAGTAAAGTATAAGCCTGAATGTTCTTAATTTCTTGCAGTGGTTTTGTATAATACAAATTTTTATTTATATTATACAAAAAAATTTTATTTTTGTGATTGCAAAGAAAATATTTACTTAGTAGATAAAAGTTACATGTGCCCTGGTGGCACTGTGGTTAAGAGCTTTGCTGCTAACCGAAAGGTTGGCAGTTCAAACCTACCAGCTGCTCTTCAGGAGAAAGATGTGCCTTCCATAAAGATTTATAGCTTTGAAAAAACCCTCTGGGGCAGTTCTACTCTGTCATAAAGGGTTGCTTTGAGTTGGAATCGATTTGACAGCAGAGGGTTTTTTTTTTTTTGGATAAAGCAAAAATACGTTAGTGAGTATTCATTTGATTTATGTATGTATGTATACATATGTAAAGAAGCCCTGATGGCACAGTGGTTAAAGCATTTGGCTGCTATTCAGAAGTTTGGCAGTTTAAACCTACCATCCACTCTGTGAAAGAAAGAAGTAGCGTTCTGCTTCTGTAAAGATTTACAGCCTTGGTAACCCTATGAGGCAGCTCTACTCTATAGGTCCTATATGATTGCTATGTGTTGAAATTACCTTGATGGCAGTGGGTTAGTGGGTGTGTGTGTGTGTGTGTGTGTGTGTATGTATATACATACATATAATTATAAAAAAATCTTTTGAAAAATTGTAAAATGCACTTATAGGAAATTAAATGGAAAATTTTCAATGTTGTACAGATACGGCAACAAAAAGGAGAAAGTCAGTTATTTGTAATACTCATTTCTAAGATCTAATCTATCGATTATTTGATTGGATAATCTGTTTGGATTTTTTTAAAAAATGAAAGAAACAACATGAACCCATTATAAGCATGTATCTCCTTAGTAGTAGCAGTGCATATGTTGATATAGACACCTCACAAAGAGATGTCCTTTTAACTAACACTTTGCATCCTTTAGGTATCTCTCTGAATTCCTTTATGCCTGGTTGATGTCAACATTGAGTCGTGCTGATGGCTCTCAAATGGCAGAGGAAAGAATAATGGAAGAGCAGCAGAAAGGCCGTAGCAGTAAAAAAACAAAGAAAAAGAAGAAAGGTGCTGTAGATTATTTTTAAATTAAGAAATAAAGAACATTGGCATATACTTTAATTTTTACAAATAAGTGGATGAACTTATTTGTGATGGGCATGAACTGCGATGGATAATTGGTCATTATATTTTAGTTCTTTCTTATTTTCTCTTCCAAAAGTATGAGGTAAAAACAGAGTTCCAGAGCTAGTCATATAGGCATCTAGGTTCCTTTCCTTGCTTTTCTTTTACTTCTTTGCTGTGCTGTGTATCAGAGGCTCTTAGGATAAGAAGTAGTCACGTGGAGTAAACAAGCAGAATAGGTTGGGAACAGGACAGCTGGAGACCTTTGACCTTTTGACAGATGCCTGACAGCTTGGGAGGGAAGTAGATCTAAAGTTGAAGTGTTAGAATCAACACAGAGCACATTGAGGTGTCATCCAAGAACTCTGAGGAATATGTTTCAAAGGGACTGGCCAGTTGGTCACTCAAGGAAGAGTATAAATATGACTGTTGTTGTTACGTGCCATCGAGTTGGACCCGACTCATAGTGACCCCTCCTTGGGTTTCTGAGACAGTATCACTATGGAAGTAGATTGCTCAACCTTCCTTCTGAGGAGTGGCTGGTGGGTTTGAACTGCCAGCCTTCTGGTTAGCAGTCAAGTGCCTTAAGCACTATGCTACCAAATATGACTGTGATCCTTATTAAATAATAACTTTGTATTTCCTTAGGATTTAAACAGTTTGGGTGGCTATTAATGGACTGTATTCATAAGTTTTCGACATAAGAAGTTAAATCTCAGTATGGTGAATTCAGAAGTTAACATTACTTTGTCTTAGAGTTTTGATGGTATTAGCTATTTGGGGAACATGGTTATTGCTTAGCCTTTCAGTTGTATTTTATTATTTGTAGATTTTGTCCTTGATGTTTTGGTTAGTAAACAAATGGGAAGGTTTATTAAAATTAGATTTTTTTTTTTTCAAATAAGCAAGGGAAAAAAAAAAATTAAGGGGTTTTTTTCTTTTTCATTATAGTTCGTCCATTGAGCCGAGAGATCACAATGAGCCAGGCATATCAGAACATGTGTGCTGGGATGTTTAAGGTACATTGTTGAAAATCAAATTCTTTTGCCCCTTAACTGCGTTGCTGTTTTATAGTATAATTAGAAATGAAGTCTTTCTGTGATTCTTTCACCTTTGTGTTGTTTCCCATCTGCTTAAAGATTACCTGCTTTCATTTATTCAACAATTTTCTGAGCCCTTGCTGTGTGTCAGGTACCTTATACTGGGGACTGTAGGATACCAAGTCTGATCAGATGTGGTCCTTGCTCTCAAGTGCCTAGTTCATGACTAGACAGGGCAGGTGATAAATATGTGGCATGGGCAATAAGAGAAGGAAGAGTTTACTGCTGATTGATGATCACCAAAGGTTTCTTGAAAGAGAAGGTATTTGGAGGTTATTTTAGGAGCATATTAGGAAGGAGGAGGGCATCACAACAAATGTTTTATCCAACAGCAGGCATTTTTCAGGAGTCAGTAAGCACTATTACTCTTAAGTTGTGCTTCACAGTTTTAGAAAGTATTGAGACAACTTGTATTAAAATACATAAAACAGAACATGGACTTCCATTTGAAAAACAGGACCTGTGCTTATTTTCATAAAAGTTATGTGCTACTTATTTTTTTTTTGTGCTACTTATTTTTGCAGAAGCTTTTACTTAAAGGTTTCAAAACTGTTGTAAAAATAATAAACATGGAAATCTGTGTGTACACGAAACAGTTAATGTCCCTAGGAAAAAATAAGTAGTTGCCTGTTAGTTAACCCTGACTCACGGCAGTGTTATGTATGGTGTGTTGTGTGTGGTGGAATGAAAATTGCCTGGTCTTGCGCCATCTCACCATTGCCATCATGTTTGAGCCATTAGAGCTCCTGTGTCAGTCCGTCTCACCGAGGCTTTCCCTCACCCTAACTGGCCCTCTGCTTCACCAAACATGGTATTCTCCTCCAGCAGTTGATCCTTTCTGATGACAAGTCCAAAGCAAGCAGGTAGAACACTGCTCTGTTGTGAGCTATAAGATTTTCAATAGCTGATTTTGGAAGTCCATTATCAGACCTTTCTTCTAGTCTGTCTTAGTCTCGATGCTCTGCTGAAACCTGTTCACCGTGCGTGACCCTGCTGGTATTTGAAATACTGATGACATAGCTTCTAGCATCATAGCAACATGGAGGCCATTACAATACAGCAACTGACAGATGGGTGGTGGGAAAATAGGTAGTAATATATTAAACACTGGAACTTGAAAAAAGTTTTTTATAAGATATGGCACATATAAAAATGGTTGCTAGCAAGCCAGTTTTTCTCTTCTTTCTGAGCCATGAGTGGTTTTAGCTATATGTTAATATGTTTCTTGGTTTTTAGTCTGTTATAATGAAGGTTATACACTTTTTCTTACTGACATCATCTCTTCCTTGTTCCCTTTTTTTCTCTTTAGACCATGGTAGCATTTGACATGGATGGCAAAGTACGAAAACCCAAGTTTGAGCTTGATAGTGAACAAGTTCGATATGAACACAGGTTTGCTCCCTTCAACAGTGTAATGACACCACCACCAGTGCACTATCTACAGTTTAAGGTAAACCTCCTCGTTGTAATAATTATAAAAATATTTAGTCTTAGTTCTCCTTAGAGATGTGCTGTTTGTACCTAGACATTTTAAAGACAAATAATCAAATCAAACAGAACAGTGGGACAGAGGTCCCAAATAGCAATGTAAATCGTGTGAGAACGCTTTGACTTTGTTGGCTGCATTCATCACAGTTTAGCATACATTTATCATACCTTAAATGACAGGTATTTAAGATACAAGAATAATGAGGTAGCTGGCAAAACTGGATATCCATTCCCAGAAAAATTAAGCAAGATCTGTGCCTCACACCATACAGAAAAACTAACTCCAGATGGATCAAAGACTTAAATATGAAACCTAAAACTATAAACTTCCTCAAGGAAAAACTAGGGGGAATTTTAGGGGCCCTAATATATGGCATAAATAGACAATCAAGCATAACCCAAAATGCACAAATAAGATAAAGTAGAAGAAAAACTAGATGAATGAGACCATCTAAAAATCAAATTTTTATGTCTTCCAAAGACTTCTCCAAAAGAGTCAAAAGAGAACCTTCAGATTCGGAAAAAATATTTGGCAATGACATATCTGACAAGGGACTTTTCTCTAAAGTATATAGAAGACTCCAATACCTCAACAACAAAAAGATAAATGATCCAATTAAAAAATGGGCAGAAGACATGAATGGACACTGCACCAGAGAGGATGTTCAGGCGGCCAACAAACATGAAGAAATGCTTACGATCATTAGCCATTAGAGAGATACAAATCAAAACAATAATGAGATACCATCTTGCCCCAGCACTAGTAGCAAAGTTCAACAAGACCGAAAATAACAAATGCTGGCGAGGATGTGGAGAGATTGGAACTCTCATACACTGCTGATGGGACTGCAAAATGATAGAACCACTGTGGAAAGCAGTATGGTGATTCCTTAAACAGTTGGAATTAGAAATACCATTTGACCCAGCAATTTCATTACCAGGTGTATATCCTAAAGAAGTGAGAGCCTGGACAGGAACAGATATATCTACACCCATGTTCATCACAGCACTATTTACAATAGCCAAAAGATGGAAACAACCTAGGTGCCCATCAACAGAAGAATGGTTAACCAGACTATGGTACATACACACAATGGATACTGTGCAACCCTAAAGAATAAGGTAGAATCTGCAAAACACCGCATAACGTGGATGAACTTGAAAGAATTTTGTTGAGTGAAAAAGGTCAATCACAGAAGGACAAATAATTGTATTAGTCTGTTACTGTAAAAAATCAAGAAAAGGTTTATACATGGAAAGAAATTTTCTTTGTTGGTTCCCAGAGGTGGGAGGGAAGGGGACGGAACACTGCTAGATAGGTAGAGACAAGTATTGATTTGCATGAAGAGAAGGGCAATGTGCCAAATGTGAGTGATCAACACAGTAGCATTGAGGAAGAGGAAAACATAGAGACGTGCATGGGAGGCCCACACAACAACGATGAACCCTTTTGCACGTACAGTACTGTATTGTCAGTTATGGAAAAATGTTGATATACAGGTGGATAGATGAGTGGACGGTTGAACAATTAGGTATGTCATATCTGTGTAGCAGGGAGCTCTGATGGCATAGTGCTTAAGGCATTTGACTGCTAACCCAAAGGGTGGCGGTTCAAATCCAGCAGCCACTCCTTGTAAGGAAGACTGGGCAATCTACTTCTGAAGAGATACTCAGAAACCCAAGGAGGGGTTGCATTGAGTTGGAGCCTATTTGTTGGGTCTCTCCTCGTCCACAGCAAAGAAGAATGAAGAAAACCAAAGATGAATGGAAACAGTTAGTCCAAGGGACTGGTACACCATGCGATCCTTAGCCTGTATGACTATGAGACCAGAACTAGATGGTGCCCGGCTACCACTGTCAGCCACTTAGAATCTTTTGTAGGAGACTGTGGATAGATTGGGAGAGCAATGTGGAACAAAACTCAAAATAATAAAAATAAAGGGACCAGGTTTGCTGGTCTGATAAAGCCTGGTGGAACCCCTGAGATTGGCCCCAAGCTGCCCTTCACGTCTGGAGTTGAACTCACTCCTGCGGCTTCCAGCCAAACAAAAGGCAGGCATATGAGCTGAACATTTACATTAGGTAGATATACTCCTTGGAAAGATCAATCATGGGAGAATAGAAGGGTTGTGTATGCAAGGGAGACAGCTGAGGAGACAGGAGTGCATGAGAGAGAAGGACACAGGGAAGAGGTAATTGTGGGGAGGAAGTGGGAAGAGAGCTGTTGCATTGTGGGAAATTGCAGTCAGTGGTATGAGACAAAAGTATGAACTGCTGTATGGAAAATGAATTTGCTCTGTAAACTTTGACCCAAATCACAATAAAAATTAAAAAAAAAAAAAGAATAAGGAGGTATAGTATATGAGGGTTTAGAATTGAATATTACATAAGAAACGATACAAAAAAAAGATGAGCTGAGTTTTCACTTCACTATATATGAATGAATAATCATTGTAGAATTCTTTGATGATTAAAAAGAGTATTTAAGAGGTTTTTGTATTGAATATATTTTGAATAATATTATTTTGCCTTCCTTTTTAGGAAATGTCTGACCTCAATAAGTACAGCCCTCCTCCTCAGTCTCCAGAACTGTATGTGGCAGCTAGTAAGCACTTTCAGCAGGCAAAAATGATTCTGGAAAATGTTCCAAACCCAGACCATGAGGTGAGGCTAGATTCACAGTATTTCTTGGGAAAATACTTGGTATTTTCTTAGTTAGGAAATACGTATCTTACTTCTGGATGAAAATTTAATTATGGAAGTGAACTTTAAAGAATAATATTAATAAGTGAAGCTTGTCGTGTTTCTGCCAAGGATTTCAAATAGCTTTGCCAAGCCACCCTTGTCAGACTTAATGTTATTTTTATGAATGCAGTGATGCAAACGCTTCCTTTGTATAAATTTAGAAATCAATGCAAAGAGAAATTAAAACTCACAACCATCATGTAAGTAAAAAGGATAGAAATAAGATCTAGACTGATCTATCTCAAAGTGTTAACCTTTAAAAATGTTTAATTTCAGTATCTAGTTCATTATATCAAGAAAATATATAAATCTTAAATCTGATAATCACAGGAAATAAAAACCTTATTCTATATGACGATTTAAAGAGTATTATTTTAGAAGACATTATTTTGAGTTATTCTACAGAGCTTTGGACTTGCAAAATAAAATACTAAGTTTTGCTCTTCTCTTAATTTGCTATATACCTAATTTTCTGGAAATACATTTATTCTGTAAATAAAAGTTAATCTATAATATGTGTACCATTCTGGGGAGAATAGCTTGGTACATACAGCTTTATCAGAGAGAGTTAGTTTAACAGTATCTACAAAACCACAGCTGCCTCGGCCCTGCAGTTGTGCTGCTTGGATTTGTCCTCTACAAGCTTGTGCACATGTAGGGGAGGTGAGGAAAGTGATAAATATGCAAGAGCACTTATGGCAGCAGTGTTCTGAACAGCAAAACAAATGGAAGACACCTGTGTGTCTGTTAGTGGGGCTGTTAAGTTAATTTTGATACAGCCATACAGTGGGACTGGGAGAAGAGTCATGGGTTATAGACAGTAAATAAATTTATTAAGTAAATTATATAGTATATTAGAAAATCAAAGTGCTGTGAAGAAAAATCACATGGGGAATGGAGATAAAGAATGCTGTAGGAAGTGAGGAGGTGGAAAGAATTAGGCTTGTTAAAATAACATGGCCTTTGAGCAAATTGTAGAAGAGTGATAGAGCTCTAAGCAGAGGGATCTGTGTATGTAAAGGCATTGAGGCAGGAGTGTGCGTGGAGTATTGGAAGAATAGCCAGGGCCTGGTATGAATAGAGTGGTCAGGCAAGTAGGAGATTAAGTTAGATGATGGTAGGGTAGCAGATGATGCCTGGCTTTTCCTCTGAATAGAGGAGTGATCTGATCTATGTTTTAAAGGATGGATGCCTTTGACCACTGTGCTGAATAAGAAAGAGACTGTAATGGAGGCAAGAGTGGCAGTAGGGGAGCCAGTGATCCAGGTGCGAGGTGGTAGTGATTGTGGACATAATCTGAAGCAATTACGTTCTCTGTGTATTTTAAGGCTCAGACATCAGGATTGGCAGATGAAGTGGATTTGGGGTGTGAGAGGAAAACCGGGGTCAAAGGTGACTTCCAGGGTTTTACCCTGAGCATCTGGATGCATTGAGTTGGGTGGAGAGATTGCAAGTGAGGCATGAGCAGGTAGGGGGCAGCAGTGGCATGGCATGGTCAGGAGCTGGGTAAGAACAAATCAAAATTAGAGATGCCTGTTGGATGTCCAAGTGGAGATAACATTTAGGTAGTTGGATATGTGATCTGGAGTTTAGGGGTAGGGTGGGGTCCTGACCTTGTGGTGGTCTGTATTTCAAGAGAGATGACAGTAAGAAGAAAGTATGAACTTTTTTCTTAAAGTTTTACATTATTCTTTCTTAAATTTCTTAAGAGAACTACAGTATTCCAGTCCACCGTTACTCATGTGTTCAAATGAAGTCTCTTAGATAAGTGGTAGTCAGAAATACTAATACAGTTAACATTTAACAGTTAAGGATGCTTACTATTTGCCAGGCATGGTTCTAGGCTCTTAACATATATTAACTCATTTAATTCTCACAACACATCTTTGTGGGATGGGTAAAATTATTATTCTCATTTCACAGATAAAGAAACTAAAGAAAAGTGAGGGTATGGACCTTGCCAAAGGTTTGTTTCACAGCTATTAAGGGTAGAATTTGACTTTGCAGGTCTAACTCCTGAGTTCATGCTTTTAGCACTGCGCTGATGAAAGTGAGATAGAGCAGCCCTTTGAAGTTTCAGAGTTTATAAAAATACAGTTCTGTATTACTGAAAGAATACTATTTCATATTTTTAAATTGTCTTTATTTTATAAATAAATGATTTCATAAATTTTAACACATTATGCAAAATTCTGATTAGTATCTGTAAAGACATTATGAATATATATTTTGTTTTGATAGCTTAATGTTGCTCATTTTTCAGGTCAATAGAATATTAAAGGTTGCCAAACCCAACTTTGTGGTTATGAAGTTATTGGCAGGAGGACATAAAAAGGAATCTAAGGTAAGTACATTGTGGGAAAAATAAATGACTTTAAATTATTGAAAATTTTCATTATTTTCAATAAAATGCATAAATGTTATTATCCCCCCCCAAAAAAAATGTTAAAACACTCATTTTAGAAAAATCCTAAAAGAATTCAGCAGACAGAAAATAAATTAACTAGAGCTTGCCATTTTACCTTGAAACTTACAGATTTTGTTGACTTAAAAATTCTGCCCTTCCCTTCTCCTTCCTTCCTCCATGTAAATAATGGAATGACTTGGGTATAAAATAGATAAAAACAATTTCTGGGAAAACTGTTTATAAAGTCATCCATCATTTGTGAGGATGAGTGCTTCAATAATTGAAAACTTTATTTTTTCAATGGAGATGGAAGATCTGTAAGCTTTGCTTATGAAGTAGAATAGTGGTTAATTAGCATTTCACTGCAGAAGTTCTGCATTGAGTAAGGCTAATCGCTGAAGCATTTTTGGTGACATTTGCTCATTTGTCCTCCATCCCTTTGTTCACTCGCTTATCCCTTACTGGTCTTCCTTCTCTCCTGTTCTGCTTCGCCAGTGACTCTCCTTGGCATTGCTTAGTTCTGTCAGTGACCCAGATCTAAGAGTTGCGAACCCACGATCTAATTGCACTCATTTCCTGAAATTTAAGTCCAATTTCCTTTGTTAACTATTTGCTAAAGACTGAAAACGGCTGGTCAGCATGTTGTCTGAGAACCTTCATAAACCGGTTTAGAGATAAGCTGATCATTTCTTCCTCCAAGTTAGTTCTTACCTTTTTTTTTTATAGTCATTCAGCAAATGACACATTCTTTGTGCTGCCTTTTCTCTAAGAACACAGGAAACTAAAATAAAAAGTTTTTTGTTCACTGTCTGAAAATTTGAAGGTACTTAAGCTTCCTGGTTTTCTTTACAGGTTCCTCCTGAGTTTGATTTCTCTGCCCACAAATATTTTCCTGTTGTGAAACTTGTTTGAGAGACTGAAAAACTGATCATAAAAGGAGTGGAATCTAATTTTGGATTCCTCTCAGAGCATACATCCATCAGTCTTAACACATAACGTGAAGTGAAATGGATTTCTTGGGATAACATCTCATCATAAGGAATATTTTTAGTTCGACAGCCTTATATGACGTGACTGAAAACTGCTGTTTTAAAGTGGTTTATTATGTTCCATGGATGAAACTGGTCTTACTGAATGCATTAATGAACGTTACGTGGTTTTATTACAGATTTAATCATAAATCATTTTTTATGAATGATGGAGTGAAAATAGTGTTTGTAAAGGTTAATAAATTTCTTGACAAAAATGCACTGCTGGAGATGAAAAACAAGAACGATTTGTTGATAACATGTTAAGAACTGAAGTTGCTTGCTCTTTAACATTTGAGTAGTTCAAAAACAAATTTGAGTAGTTCCAAGTTTCAGATAAAAGGATTTATTAATATTTGCATGAGATTTTGGTAAGAATACATTTTAAAGGGACTTTCGGGGGCTCTAAAGGGAGGGTAGGTTACATGGGGAGTGTGATTTTATGTCACGATATAAATGATAGAAGAATATTTTTTTTTTAAATCTTTAATTTTACTTTGGGCACTTTTAAAAAATTACAGATTTTGTTGTTAGCTAGTAACATTCAAAAGGTAGGAATATATTATAGATTATTAATTTCAAGTCTAGGTTTAAACGTGGCATGTTTCTTTTTGTTTACTTATTATTCATTTTAACCCATGACACATTTTCAAATGAGAGGTCTGTCCCTATGAATATGCTGGCTTTGAAAAACTGACCCAAATCCACTTGTTTCTGCAAGTGCCCAGTCAAAGGCCCCACCCTCCCCGAGCTCATTCCTCTCCCTGTCTGGTCTGGTGTTCGCTCATGCTGCCATGGCAGCTGTCCAAGCCTCCCGGGGCCTTACCCTGTGTCCTTGTAGCATTCAGTATTAATGAGCAGTATGAGCTACCTTGGACCTTAAGTTGGCTTTTGTGGCTTGGCCTAAGACTAGCACCAATTATATATTTGGTCTGTGGTAAAAAATAGCAGTCAAGAAATCAAATGATGTATTGCATAGGGCACACTGGTTGCAAAAGACCTTTTTAAAGTCACTTTTGCTGACTAAGGTGCATGCTCTTTTAGTTGCCCATAGGCATGCACAAGTTGGATAGTGAAAAAGGAAGACCAAAGAGGAACTGATTTCAAACTGTGCTGTGATGAAGAATGTTGAATATACGATTGATGCCAGAAGAACAAACAAATCAATTTAGAAGAAACACAAACACACGATGCTCCTTAGAAGTGAGAATGGCAAGACTTCGGCTCACTGACTTTGGACACATCATCAGGAAAGACCAGTTGTTAGAAAACCACATGTTGGGTAAAGTAGAGAGGGTCAGTGAAAAGGAGGAAAAACTTCAGTGAGATTGATGGACATAATGGCTACACCAGTGGATTCAAACCTATGGTTGTGGAGACAGCAGGCACAGAACTGGGCCGTGTTCCGTTCTGTTGCACGAGGTCACCATGAGTTAGAGCCGAGTCAGAGTTTCAGTCTTAATTTTGGTCTGACCTTTCTTGCAAACATGAAACTTGTTTTCTGGAAATATTTTAAGCAGCTAACCTGTCATTTCTTTGTAATCCATATATCTGATTGGGGCCCCTAGAGTGGATGAATGCTACTGATCAATGAGTTTGGCTCAAATACAGACATACCATACCTAGGCTTTTTTTAGGAATGGGGCTTCCTAAGAGTAAAGAGTGAAAAACAACAAAAAAAATGTTAGTATGTGTTACTGACAGAATTGTGTACTTTCCTTTGAGGCATTTGTTCATCATAATCTGGTTAAGGTTTTTTAAGGGGCTAAAAGGCAAAACTACAGTTAAGTGGAAAATTAGGCTACCTAGGACCACATCTCTGATCAGTCATGTTGTCTGATAATGCAACATGATCAGTCACAATAATTTATTTGGACTTAGCAGCCAAGAGATATTTGCCAAGCATCCATCATGGGATCACAGTCTCTGTGTGGGGTATACAGTAGTGTCAAAAGCAAGGTAGGTGTGTGTCATTTAACTCGGGGTTTTTACTCTAGTTTAGATGATATAATTTTATTCTACTCAGTTTTTATTAAGTTCATTATTTGAAGTTTATATATTTTTCTAATTTAGAGATCAAAATATGTCAAGTCATTTAACTTGCCCAGAGATGCACACTCAAGGATAGAAGAATTTTTCTTTTCTTTTATTAGCAGGATTTTAAAGTTAATCACAAATACATAAAATCCAACTTTCTAAGGTGAAAAACAAGTTCATGGAAAGATAATTACTTCAAGTAATCCTTCAATGTATACATAACCAGAATTTTATCAATCAGTTTTTAAAACCTGCTAAGGGCAGTGGTTTAGTACACTTTAAAAAAGTGTTGCCTTCTGAGCTGAGAAACAGCACATAAACATACAAGTATTTGAAAACATAATTTAAGATAAAGCATTTCCTTAACTTTGATACTAAAACATCTTCAAAGCTTAATTGTGGAAAAAAGAAGAAATTAACCCACAGTTAATGGAACCTTTATTTTTATTGTAAATTTAGGTATCTTTTTTAAAATTCAAGGCAAGTGTTTAAAGTTGTTCAGTGCCTCAAACTATCATTTATAATTAAAAATTAATCTTTTAGGCCAAACAGAGTAAGAGTAGACAGATCCACTGGACCTTAAATGACCATTCACAGTTCACTTCTACCATTACACATTACCATTACACATTCTACCATGAGTGGACAACCAGTAACTACAAATGGGAACAGTTGTATTTGTTATCATTCTGGTTATTTAATGTAGCACACTGACTTAAACAGGTAATAGTTCATTTTTCAAATTCCATCATACAGAAGTACAGTTAGACTACTTGTGAAATCTAACCCAAGTTTGCTTGGATGTTTGTGTGGGGGTGGGGGAGTGGGAATCAAATGAATAATCCTGCCTATACACTACTTGCAAACAACAACAACAACAACAACATACACTACTGGAGAGTATAAAAGAAAGTGTAAATTAAATAGATGTTTATACTTACTGAAAATAGGTTTTAATTTTAATAAATAGCTGCTGATTTATGTTTGCATGAAACCAAAAGACCAAGGTCAGGGGTTTGATACTTATTTGATGCTTACTACATAGGTTTATTTTGCTTTGTGTTTTAAACAGCCATTACACCTCTAAATTGTTGCCTCTGAATTCATGCCCGAGATCACAAGGGAACCAGTGGAGTGACTGCCTGGAGAAGAACTCCAGGTACACATCCTCCTGAATGCACAGCCTTAGAAACCTCTATACTGAAAAAATTATGGTCATCTTATATTTTATTGACATCCCATCACATTCCACAAGGGTTAAAGGCAAGTCACTAACCTTAATCCATAATTTAAAATGGGATTCTATAGGGATCCTTAAGGGATGAAGGGGATATCTGTGAAAACAGTTTTAAAATCAAGGAGTATTTCTCAGCAACTCTGTATGTTAAACAAGAGATGAATGTAAGTATCATTATTTGAGAAAGCAAGAAAATTTGTGTCACTCTAAGATAAACACATAAAGGAAGGTTAGAGAAAGAAAAACAAAGCTACTTTTATACCCTATTTTAGTTGCCTTTTCTGAGTGAAAGGTTAAATCTCAGTGATTGGGTAAAGAGAGAGACTACATGAAGATGTTCAAGTTTAAAATATGAATGCACTGTGTTGGCACACCTGGGTATATGAGTCTAGGTGCCATGTTCCTCCACTGGCCCCTATGAATGTTACATAACCTTTCTGAGCCCCAATATCCTCTCCTGGAAAAGGAGGTGTGGGGGCATTATACCAAATGACCTCTGAGGCCCCTGCAACTCAAATTCTGTGAATCTAAATGTATTTTAATAGACACCATCACTCATTCACCATTTAGAGATCTTCACTGAATGTGATTACTAGCTGTTTGCAGGTAAGAATCGATCTACCTTTAATATTAGGACCCAATTAAAGTCAAACCTGTCATCACTGCTACCAATATAGATTAGGATAAACAGTGTCTCTAAATCTATTTTCAAAATTAGCATTAACCTTTGCTATTTTGATCAGTTTTGTGATAGTCATTTTGTCATAACTAAATGTGTAAAGTGACAAAAACAAATACAGGTATGTGCCGCATAACATCCATCATCTGGGCAATGTCCAACCATATGTGTCTGTGGGGAGGGGAGGAAGAGCAGCCATGGGTGGTGGCTGCTCGCTCCCCCTGGTGGGTGCCTGTGGAGTGACGCTGTGCTGTGGCTGCTCCACACCATCCCTCAGGGCTTCCAGTTCTGAGCAGGGTCCCCAGGGGACTGCTTGAAAGTACCAAGTGCCCAAAAGCAGCCAGTTGCAGGTGCACATTTGTAAACCCTGAGGTTTTGGGTGCTAAGGGAGAGCCAGAATAGGTTGTGAGAGGGTTACTTTGATATATGTATATTGAATATATACAAATATATGTATTATATATGTACTGTGTTCACACAAAATCCAAATCACATAACATCCTGTTTCACAAAACCTATCAAGTAAAGTGACACATACCTGCATTGCATGTCTTGCCTTCTAAACTGTCCCACAACTTCTAACACTGTAAATACCCTTCAACATCAGTTAACTTTCTTTTCTTTTACTCTTGTAATAAGTAGGCACGGATTTGCGCACAACAAACTTGTGCTCACGAGGCTGTGCCTCCCTCCCTGGACTCTGCTACAGGCTGTTGGCACCATCTCTGCTAGGCCCCTGCTGTGTTGGAAGTCCAGTCCACTCATATCTCTTTTTGGTAATAAGTACTTATTACAGAAGATTTTGCTTTACCCACACATATTAAGCAAAGCAAGTATAGACCACAAATTGTTCAAATAACAAGTCACTTAAAAGTGTTTTATACATTAAGGATGACAAGGGTTATTATAGAAGTAGTCTTCTTAGAGGTTCTCACACACAACAGCTCTGTATTTAGATTTGTTAAAACTGTTGGTAGTGGTGTTTTGTTAATAGTCAGTGACTGACTGTCAGAATCGGGAATGAGTGCCCAGGAGTAGAACACTCCACCAGTAATAACAGGCTGGGAGCAAGCAGGACCAGGCAGGGCTTCATTCTGTTGTACACAGTTGCTGTGAGTCGGAACTGACTCTGCGATACGTAACCTCCGCATGACGTGTAGAAGAGAATACGACTCCAGGGGGAAGCCAGCAAGAGAGGCCTCTGGTGGCTCTCTCAATGGCAGGCCTTTTTGTTCTTGGTTTGTTTTTCTTTTTTTTTTAAAAGTTCTGTTCAAGAATAAACAAGCACCACTGTCAACATACTTGAAGTAGAACTTATGTTGTATTTTTTTGGTGTTGCTCATTTCATGAAATGCCTGTTAGCCAAAACCTTGACAAATTTTGACATCTTGAACACTTTAGAAGTACTCCAAAAAAGTGTCTAAAAGACAAATCTCATTTTTTCCCACATAAAGTACATACTAAAAACTTTACAATAATCTTTAGATGTACATTTCACTGAGTACTTTTCACACTCTTGTGTGTTTCAGTTCCACATGAATATTTTGTAGTCATCTCTGTTCAATCCTGATGCAGCGAAATGTGTGATTCCACTTTGATTCAGAGAGTGTTATTCCTCTTTTCACGTTGATCAGGTAAATTTCTGGTGTCTCTTTTTTTGTCTTCAGCATTAATTACTAAAAAGGGAGGGGAGAAAAAACACAAATAACACACTCATATACATTCTAACTGCTGGAGAAACCAGCCCAGGCAGGTCCCACATGGCATAAATTTCTAGAACTTTTCATCAAGAACATGGTACCTCACCCCAGAAACCTTTTGGAACTGAATTCCTAAGCAAGGACAAGATATTAAAAAAGAGACAGTGTGCCAAGAAAACAAAGCTTAAAATATCTAAAAAATTACCCTAAATGCAGCCCACAGAGGCAGAAATTAAAGATAGAATGATAAGTTTTAACACAGTTCCAAGTTCAAAAAGGAATAAAAAGGTAAAAGGACATTTTCAAAAAGATGTTGGCTGAGATTTCCCAGAGGGACCTGTCTTGCAAAATAGTTAAGAAAGCTGTTAGACCAGTGTTGATACAATGTGAACTGCTGGAGAAATCAATGGAATAGAAAATCCAGGATTAGACCCAAGAAGATAGGGACATTTAATATTTGTTAAAGGTGGCATCTCAAATCACTGGATTTGAGATAGTGTTGGGCCAAATGGATACACCTTTAGATAAAAGATGATAAAATTAGACTTAGACTTTGGGCCATACACTTGCATAAATTTGAATCAAATGACCCAGAGATCTAAATGTCAAATATAAAAATAGGAGTATTCTAAAGCAATGGGAGCTCTGGTAGCATAGTGGCTAAGACACTTGCCTGCTAACCAGATGGCTGGCGGTTCAAACCCACCAGCCACTCCTCGGAAGGAAGGTTGGGCAATCCTACTTCCGTAGTGATACTGCCTCGGAAACCCAAGGAGGGGTCGCTATGAGTCGGGGCCGACTCGACAGCACATAACAACAACAACAACAAAGCAATGGTGGCAAAAGTGGCATGTTTTTTATTTTCTCAGAAGACCTACCTAAAGTAAGTAGATAAACTCAAAAACCACGAACATTTACAACAAAACTAGATGACGGAATCCCTGCAGAAATCATTCAAAATACAAACAAAGCAAACCACAGACAGTTAAGCTATATGTATGATAGCCATCTGTGTGGAAGGAACACCAGAAAGCAACAGAGCATCAGTGCAGCTGAGAACAGACCCCTGGGAGGCAGCAGGCACACACCAGAAAGCATGCTGGCCCCAGTGTGAGGCTGGCTGCTGGAGTGGGAGGTTCCCATGGTCTCCATGGTAGATGAGCTGGTGAAGTCCAAACCCAATATACTCCTGACACTCATCTAGAGTGCTCCTTCCCAGATAGAGCCCCCAATAGAGGAAAACTAGAGGGAGTAAAGAGCAGGTGAGGCAAAGGGGAATGTGAAGGGCCAGGTAAAAGTAGGAGAGGAACTAATCCACAGGACTGAGAGCCCACTTGAACCACAGCCTCTTCTAACCTGAGACCAGGAGAACTAGGTGGTGCCCAGCTACCACTAACTAACAACCATTCTACCACTTACAGCCATTCTATCAGACTCAATAGAAAGTCTTGGATAGAATGGAAGAAAAATATAGACCAAAACTCAAATTCCTAAAAAAGGGCAAACTTCCTGGAGTGGTAGAGACTTGAAGAACCCTCAAGACACTCGCCCTAAGATAACCTGTGAAGTGGAACTGAAGCTATTTGTGTAGGTCATTTTTCAGCCAAATAATAGTTTGGTTTATAAAGTAAACAGTATCACCAATGAGTAATGTGCTCCCTTAAACAATGAACTACATGAGACCAAACAGTCAACATTTACCCAAAAGCAATGGTGAAAAGGTAAGGAGGGGAAAGGAAAGTAGATCAGTCAAAACAGAAGATGGAAATAAAGGGAATGTTGACACAATGTAAAAACTGTAACCAACAGCATGGAACAATATGTATAAAAATTGTTAAAGGAAATCTAATTTGCTATGTAAACTTTCCCCTTAAACACAATTTAATTCAAAATGGGGGAGGCTCTACTGGCCAAGGAAGATGGGACAATTCAAGCTGCAAAAAAGGAGAATAGATAAAATTGAGTGAAACCATCAAATATTTAAATCCATGAGTTTACAGTTTTCTAAATGGTCAACCTTTAGAGGCTGACAGGAAAACAGTTCATTATGATGAAAACTGAAAAACAGCAAGAAAGAATCAAGCATTGTTACTGCCTCCTATCGGACAGTACCACCAGGCAAACAGTAGATGAAGGAAAGTGTCATTTATGAAAATATTCCAGTTAACAAATGAAACAGAAATGATGGAATTAGGATGTTATAGGTGGTTTCTGATTGCAACTCTTGGTGACCCCTTACATGCAGGACAGAATTGCTCCATAGGGTTTTTACAGCTGTGACCTTTCAGAAGCAAATCACCAAGAATGTCTTCAAAGGCACCACTGGGTGGGTTTAAAGTGCCAACTTTTTGATTAGTCGTTAACTACTTAACCATCTGCACTGCCCAAGGACTTCCAGCAGAAGCAGGCACTGAGCATCAACTGTTGCTTTAAAAAAAAAAAAAAGATGATAGACAGCCATTAGGTGCCTCTAAAGAAAGAACACACCAGTTACCTGCTGTCTCACCAAAGGCTTGAGCCTGCAGCTAAGTAATCAAGCCTCTGGATTCAGCTGCCAATTTATAGGATGTACAGACAGAAGAATATGCCAAGTTTGCCCCATGAATATACAATCAGCATTATCTAGACTATGGGAAACTACAGGTAAAACAGTTTGGATTCTTTAACTGAATGTAAACAAAAGAAAGGAACGGAGGGGTAACTTGAAGATTAAAGAGAGACTTAAAGCCATCAAATTTAAGAAAATAAGCAAGACTAAACTATAGTGTCCAGGCATGCCCTCTTGGGTGAGAAACCCATAAAGGAGCACAAGAAAATGACTAAAGGACGGGGTGCTGGCATTGTGAAAGTGGACACAGAAGGGTGTCTCGAGCAGCTGGCCAAGTTCTGTTTCTTAACTGGAGGCAGCTACAAGGTGTTCACCTTCTAAGAACTCATTTGTGTTCTGTGGTTTTTTTCTGAAGCAGTGTCCTTGTTTTACAGAGACTAAAAGAAAAATTTGAAAGCAAATACAAAACAAAAACAAATTCTTTTAAAAGCTAGGTGTGGAGAAAACCTTTCTAACTATGACTCTCTATCCAGAAGCAATAAAAGAAAAAAATATTTGACATTGTAATGGCAAAACAATACCATAAGCAAAACAAACGAGCAGAAAATATTTGCAACTTTTATCACAGATAAAAGTCAATCTCCCTAACACATAAAGGGAGCCCTTAAAAACTGAGAAAACACCAAGAATTCGATAAAAACTCAAAACTCACTGCTGTCGAGTCAGATCTGACTCCTAGCGACCACTCCTTGGGTTTCCAAGGCTGTATCTACCGAAGTAGATTGCCTAGTTTTCTGAGGAGTGGCTGGGGGGTTGGAACTGCCAGCCTTCTGGTTAGCAGTCATATGCCTTAGGCGCTATGCCACCAGAGCTCCTAAGAATCCAATAGAGTGAATTTAATGTATGGGGGGTGGGAATGGGGAGCTTCCTTAAACACTATTTCAGCTAATAAATGTGAGGAGAAGACAATTAAAAAAGTCACCACTTTGCAACAAGACTCCTGAATGGATGGTAGAGCCCCACCGTGTTAAAGCATCACTCTCACAGATTACTTATTTAATTACAAAGGGAAACTGTGCCTTTGCGATGGAGATCCTTGAGGTCAGACCTGGCATCACCAATGGCGGGGCAACCTGACCTTATGTGCCTCCTGGTGTGATGTAAGAGAAGCACATGTCAGCTACACAAATGTTCAACCTGATCCAATCACAAGGAAATGGTCACATCCAGAATGATTCCTTTTTAAAATACGGGTCTGGATTCTTCAATAATTCACAATAGTAATAATAATAACAGCACAAACTGTCACTATAAAAAGCTGTTAGGAAGCTTTGTGCATAGATTGGAATTTCTTGATTGATAATGTAGTGACTAAATATTGCTGAAAGAAAAAAAAATTCTCCAACTGATAAGCTGAAGGTTTAAACCCACTGAGTGCACCGACTTTCTGAAAAAGTCTTTATCATCTTGGGTCTCTACTCTTCATCTCCCTCCACCCTTTCTACTTTCAGAGTCTTCCCAGGAGAAGAAAATCTCCTTCAGAAAATCAATTATTTACATTACTGCTGGAATTCACTAGTCAATCCAAAAGTGAAAGACCAGAAAGAGGACATGAAAGACAGAAAGAAGCATGTGAAAAGTGACCCCCATCACAGTACTCACCATTTAGGCTTTTGTCATTCTCCACAAGGGCAGCCTGCTTCTCTGTTTCAGATTCGGCCTCATTTTCATCTATGTTGTAGTTATCATCTCCTCCCAGTTTTTGCTGGTTTCTCCCTGTAAAATCAGCACAGACACATAAAATGTAAGCTACATCACTTGTCTATTTATGCCATGAGAACACCAGCATCCAGGTACTGGGCTTACCATGTAACCATCAGAGCTTTCTCCTACCTCAAGAACTGGTAGGGGCTTGACTGCGTGCTTCCAGTGCAGAGCTCCTGCAGGGGTCCTCCACATACATATGCGGCACTTCACCTCTACTGGATATAAAACGTGGCCCTAAACAAAGGGCTATATTCTAGGTTGGAGGTGGGGAAATGAACTAAACCAAAATCCCAGTTTTTAAAAGAAGATGAACTCATGGTTAAAGAAAGGTACTACCATTTTAGGAAACAACAGGTTTCTAGTTATTATCAGCATCTCAAAAAGACTCATTGCTCCAAGAGAAGGAAATAGAATCACTATTGTGAACTGAGGAATAAAAAATGTTCATCATAGACAATCAGATCATTTATGACCACACTGATTCCTGTAGCAACCCAAAAAAGAAGGTCAGGATAAAATGCATTCAAGAGACATACTTAAAGAGATCATCATATATTTTATATCTGTCTACAAGTAGGCAAAAGAAAATCTTTTTGGAAAAAGCATGCCTAGAAAAGTAGGTTCTGATGGCATTTCTCTGCACTGCCTAAGGGGGTATGAAAACACAGACTCACGTGCCCTATAGGTTTATTCTACAGTTAGTCTGTGACAAAGGCAAGGCAAGGGAGGGGTATCACACAGGCCCTACAGTCTCTTCGGCTAATGCACCTTTGTGACCAGCTGCTGAACCGCCTCAAACACCCTGGATGCTCCTGCATGAACCATCCAGGTTTTCTTTCCCTACCTCCCACTGTGGGTACCTGTCACTGCAGGACAATGTAGACCACAGGGGCCAGAGCAGGGATGCTTGGGGAGGCTGACAAAATGCAGCTCTTTAACTGAGAGCTTGTGAAGACACATTATTCAAAAACCATTAATGAAAATTAGATTTAGATGGAATCCATGTACACAGATAAGCACGTTCCTCAACTTCTGTGCCTTGTTCTGGCCCAGAGCACAGGCATCATCTCATAACTGCTCCTGGCTCAACTGGGAGTGAAACTTTCCAAATTTTAAGGAATCAAAATACATCCCAGAATATTCTATGAATCTCAGTTTACTACACTTTAAAAAGTCAACCAATCCAGTGAAACTCAATGTACACGTTACATTGAATGTAAAACAAGCTCTTAAAATAAAAATTAAAAAAAAAGAAACTTGAAAACTTTCATCATATAACAATGATTCAAGAAAGACTATTGATTATCCTTACTATGTATGGAAATAAATATTGTTTGGCAGCTTTGAAAAAAAAAAAAAAGTCCACCAATCCAGAAAGGTAGTTCATATGTCACTTTTCTTCAATGCTCAAAAACACATTAAACTCCATCTACCTAACCATTCATTCATCCATTCATTCACTGGTTCCTTTACTAGGTTCCTTTACAAGGTCTTTACTATCTATACTGTACCTGATTGCATAAGAGAGGACATAGATAGAACAGGTGGCCTGCCTGCCAGGAGGCCATGTTTCCTCAATGCTAAGCATTCATCTCAAGATCTTCCACCTGAAAGTCCCTTTGACTTCCTGTTAATGTTTCTGAACCTCAACTCAAAGTGCCAGAGTGTTGTACTATTCCTCCTTCCTGCCTCCAATTTGATAACTGATAACAAACAAAACAAACCACCAAATTGTGAGCTGCTGTTAGGTAGAATTCATGGGGATCCTCCTGTGTTAGGAAGGAGACCAACTCAGCTGAGTGCTGGCAGCGTGGAATCAGCAGGCAGCCCAGAGCCTTCTACCCACCTTGCTCCTCAGCATCCTGCTCTTCCTCCTCCTGGCCCTCGCTGATGATGAGCTGGTCTCGCTCAGGGTCCTCAGGCTCTGTATTTTCCTGGCTTGTCAATAGAGCAGCTGGCACCTCTGGAGTTTGGCCAAGTTCTCTGGCTTCCCCAACATTTCTTCCCTTCATGAGCGTGTTGTCTTCGGTAGCCTGCTCTTGGCCTGGCTCTTGCGGCAATCCCAGGCTGAGCCTCTTAGTTTCCTCCTTGCTGACAACCTGAATCTCGTTGGTTTCCTCTGTGCACAGAACACAGTTAGCTGTGACCTCACAGGCATTCAAATTAAATTAAAAACAAACAGCATGTGCCACATGATTCCCAAGGCCCTCCAAATAAACATGGATGGATTGGGCTGCAGGTGGGGTAGCAATGGGGTAGATTAATTTTGTGGGCTCACGCTTCTCAATGCCTGGGGCTTATCTTCAACACTGTGAACCAGAGAAAGCATTTAGAGAAAAATCTCAATTACAGAGATGGACCAAGTAGAGGAGGGTGTGCTGCTAGGTTTATCTGACTGTTGTATCTGAGAAAAGTACTTGGATCCAGGGCATGCCAGTCCACAGGGACACAGCAACCCCCACTGTTTCCAAACAGCAGCTGCCCAGGACTCTGCCACCTCTCCTTAATCCTGCAATCCCCCACCCCCAATGTCCAAAATAAAGGTACAGCCAAGACCCTGCCTTACACAGTTTCCAAAGAAAAAGGAATTCAGTTTACAAGGAAGAGAGATCAGTAAGACAAAGCCCTGTAGTCCCAATTCCAGGTGCCCAAAGACACTCATTTGCCACCTTTTAGCCCCATCACTTAGCTCATAGTTGGCTCAAACCATACACTCTGTCCCTGAATATTTATATGGAATGGAAGTCATGAGCTGCCACTTTGCTTTTATTTAAGTGTGGCTCTGCAGAAGGTTTACAAGTTCAGTTGTCTGGCCTCAGCTTACCCTTCTCATCTTGTCTCTTCAAATCCAAAGTTATTTCAGCACTGGGGGCTGGTGTCTGGGGATCGGTGTTGCTGAGTACGTTTCCTTTCCCTTGTAGTACCTCTGCCTGCAGCGAACCTGCTTCCTGTGACCTGGGCCGAGGCTCACTGAGGGATTGCAGCTGAAACAGGAGCACAAGATAGCCAGGGCAGAGGCTCCGTAACCATAAACCTTGCAACAATCCCAGGCAATGCAATGAACCACCACATCCATCTGACAAATGAGAACACTGAAACCCTGAGAAATGCTCTGTCCTGTGGCAAAGGAAGAACTTACATCAGAAATGCTGAGGCTCAATGAGAATCACCTGGAAGCTACTTTCAATAATGAATAGAGCCATGAAGCAGAAATCAACAAGAAAACAGATGACTTAACACCATAGACCAATTAGACCCAACAAAAGCAAAATACACATTCTTTTCAAGTGCACTTGGACTATTCTCCAGAATGCTGGGCCATAAAACAACACTCAACAAATTTAAAGACCGAAGTCATAAAAGAGGATAGAAAAAGAGATCAACTAAATAGAATTGAGAATGTTCCCTAAACATAATGGAATGAAATTATCGATAACAGAATGAAATTTTATATCAGTAACAGTGAAATCTGGGAAATCCACAAATATGTGGAAATTAAATAACATATCCTAAGTAAGCAAGGAATAAACCATAAGGCATATTTAGGAAATACTTTATAGAGATGAATGAAAAAAAAAAAAAAAAACATCAAGCACACCAAAACTTAAGAGAAGCAGATTAAGGGGAAAATTTATAACTGTAAACACCTATATTAAAGAAGAAGAAAGATGTCAAATTGAAAACCCAAACCTCCACCTTAATATACTAAAGCAAACAGAATGAAGGAAACAATAAAGATTAGAAAACAATTTAATGAAACAGAGAAAACAGCCAACAGAGAAAATTAAGGAAACTGTTTTTTGAAAAGATGAACAAAATTGGCAAAAAGAGAACACTGGGAGCTCTGGTAGCATAGTGGCTAAGGCACTTGACTGCTAACCAGAAGGCTGGCAGTTCAAACCCACCAGCCACTCCTTGGAAGGAAGATGGGGCAATCTACTTCCGTAGTGATACTGCTTCAGAAACCCAAGGAGGGGTCGCTATGAGTCGGGTCCGACTCGACGGCACATAACAACAACAAAAAAATTAATAAAAAATGAAAAGGAACAGCGCTACCAACCTTACACAAATAAAAAAGGATTATTAGGGGTGGTTCAAACCCACCAGCCACTCCTTGGAAGGAAGATGGGGCAATCTATTTCTGTAGTGATTCTGCCTCAGAAACCCAAGGAGGGGTTGCTATGAGTCGAGTTTGACTTGATGGCACATAACAACAACATGAACAATTATAGGTGAACAAGTTAGATAATGTACATATGGACAAACTCCTAGAAAGACACAAACTACCAAAAATGACTCAAGAAGAATAGAAAATTTGAGTAGACCTATAACAAGTAAGGAGACTTAACACTTCCCATGTAGTGCCTAAGGTATTTGACTGCTAAGCAGAAGGCTGGCAGTTCAAACCCACCAGCCGCTCCTCGGAAGGAAGGTTGGGCAATCTACTTCTGTAGTGCGACTGCCTCAGAAACCCAAGAAGGGATCATTATGAGTCAGAATTGACTTGACAGCAGTGAGTTTGTTTTTTTTGTTTTTTCCCACAAAGACAAGCACAAGCCCAGACGGCTTTACTACTGAACTCTATCAAATATTTAAAGAAGAATTAATACTAAATGTTTACAAACGTTTCTTAAAAAAAAAAAAGGGGGGAACATTTCCCAACTTATCCTAAGAGCCCAGTATTACCCTAATATCACCAAAACCAGACAAAAATATCCAGAAAATTAAGTTTTACACTAAAATCCTCAATGACATACTAGCAAAATAAATTAAGTAACATATAAAAGGAATATACACACGACCAAATGGGTTTGTCCAGGAATGCAAGGTTAGTGTAACATCCACAAATCAATGTAATATACCTGAGAAATGAATAAAGGACAAAAAAAAGCACATGTTCATTCATTTCAATAGAAAAAAAAAAGTTGGACAAAATCCAACATCTCTTTGAAAAAAATAAAAATAAAAAAGACCCTCAACAAAATAGGAATAGAAGAGAACTTAACTTGATTAAAAGCACCTGTGAAAAACCCACAAGTAACATCAAACTTAAAAGTGAAATGACTGCACACCCCACCCCCATATTAAAAAACAGGATGCCTGTTCTTACCACTTCTATTCAACACTGTACTGGAGATTCTAGGCTGGGAAATTAGGCAAGGAAAAAAAAATAAAAGGCATCCAGATTAGAAAGGGCAAAGTATAACTACTTATATTTGCAGATGACATGATACTGTATATAAAATATCCTAAGGAATCCACAAAAAAGTTTATAGAACCAAAAAGTTTAGCAAGGTTGCAGGATACAAGATCAGTGTGCAAAACTCAATTATACATCTTACACTAGCAATAAACAATCCAAAAATGAAATGAAGAAAATAACTCCATTTACAATAGCATTAAAAAATAATAAAATACTTAGGACTAAATGGAACAAAAGAAGTACAAGACACTGTTGAAAGAGATAATGAAGATCTAAATAAATGGAAAGACGCCTCATACTCACAGACTGGAAGGCTTACTAGTTTTAAAATGGCAATCCTAATTGATCTATTGATACATCATCATCCCTGTCAAAACCCCAGATGGCTTCTTCGAAGAAATACACAAGTTGACCCTAAAGTTCATATGAATATTCAAAAGACATAGATAAACCATCTAGAAAAAGAAGTGTGTTAGAAGACTGTTTCCTGATTTCAAAATTTATCACAAAGCTACAGTAATAAAGATTGTATGGTACTGGTAAGAGGATAGAAAAATACATCAACTAAATAGAATGGAGAATTCAGAAATGAACCCTCACATTGATGGTCAGTTGATTTTGACCAAGGTGCCAAGACAATTACATGAAGGAAAGAACAGTCTTTACAACAAATGGTGCTGAGACAATGGATATCCACATGTGAAACAATGTAGATAAACCCCTACCTCATACCATATACAAAAACTAACTTAAAATGGATCACAGACAGAAATTAGGACTTAAAACTATAAAAGTCTTAGAAGAAAACATGGGAATACATGTGACCTTGGATTAGGCAAAGTGTTCTTAGATATGACACCAAAAGAACAAGCAACAAAAGAAGAAATAGTTAAAATTGGACTTCATCAAAATTTAAAATGTTTGTGCTTCAATGAACACCATCAAGAAAGTAAAAAGATAACCCATAGAGTGGGAGAAAATATTTGCAAATCATATATCCGATATATCCAAGAGAACCAAATGTATATATCCACACACAAAAAGTGTATACAAATGTTTATATCACCATTATTCACATAACCAAAAGGTGGAAACAACCCAAATGTCTATGACATTTGGATAAACAAAATGTGTATATCCAAAGAATGGAATATTATTTGGCCATAAAAAGGAATAAAGTATAGATACATGCTACAATGTGGATACACCTTAAAAATATTCTGCTTCCCACAGATTGGCTCTCAGCCCAACAGCAGAAAGACCTACATGCAGAACACCTACCCCAAGGGCGATGCACCCACCTCCTCTAGGAAGATGCAGCCCCTAGATCACAATCAGCCATGAGACATCACAGGGGAGCATTCACATAGAGGGAAAGCTGGACAGACAGGAATGCATAGTTAAGAAAGGCACAGGGAGGGAGCAGTCACAGGGATGGGCGGGGAGCAGAGTTTTTTATGGTTGGGGATGATAACTGTGGCATGAAATCAAATGTGCATGAACTGTTGAATGTAAAACAAATTTGCTTTGTAAATGTGCACCCAAAGCACAATTTAAAAAAATGTATTATTCTAAGTGACAAAAACCAGTCACAAAAGACAGTATGACTCCTTTTATATGAAATGTCTAGAGTAGGAAAATCCATAGAGAGAAAGTAGTTTAGTGGTTGCCTAGAACTGGGGAGAGGCTGGGGGGGAATGGGAATGACTGATAATGGGTACAGAGTTTCTTTTTCGAGTGAAGAAATGTTTTAAAACTGATTGTGATGATCGTACAACTTTGTAAATATACTAAAAGCCACTGACTTATAAACTTAATATGGATTATATCTCAATAAAGTTGTTATATTTAAAAAGTAAAAAACTTCCCAGAAGACTCTGATCAGCAGCTTCACGGGCTCCACTTTATACAGGAGGTAGGCTGCCAGCACAGGATGTGGAGTCGGACGGGCCTCGGCCTATAGTCTGCTCCATCACTGACCTGAGGTGTAACCTTAGGCAGGGTTCTTAATCATCTCCACCGGCCTTTAGTGTTCTCAAAACAGGAAACTAACAGTGACTCTCCAGGGTAGCTGTGAGGTTTAAATGAAATAATTTCCATAAAGCCCTGAGCATGGACACTCTGGTCTAGAGGAAGCATACCCAGTAGTAGCTAGGGCATCCCAGGGAACCAAATCCGCAAGGAAGAGGAGAGATTAAAGCTTATCTAAACCAGACCAAAACCACTGCCATCAAGTCGAATCCAACGCATAGCAACCCTGTTGTTGTTGTTATGTGCCGTCGAGTCGGATCCGACTCATAGCGACCCCTCCTTGGGTTTCTGAGGCAGTATCATGACGGAAGTAGATTGCCCCATCTTCCTTCCGAGGAGTGGCTGGTGGGTTTGAATCGCCAGCCTTCTGGTTAGCAGTCAAGTGCCTTAGGCACTATGCTACCAGAGTGCCTATAGCAACCTTGTAGGACACAGTAAAACTGCCTCCTAGGGTTTCCAAGGCTGAAAATCTTTACAGAAGCAGACAGCCTAATCTTTTTCCTGTGGAGTGGCTGGTGGGCTCAAACCCCTGACCTTTTGGTTAGCAGACCAATGTTTTTAACCACTATGCCACCAGAGCTCCTTAGAGCATTGTTGTTGTTGTTGTTGTTGTTTGCCGTCGAGTCAGCACCGACTCATAGCGACCCCTCCTTGGGTTTCCGAGGCAGTATCACTACGGAAGTAGGATTGCCCAACCTTCCTTCCGAGGAGTCAGACATAAAAAGACTGCAATGCCCAGGGAGAGGGTAGGGATACCGTCTGAGAAGCCTAGGCAGAAAAATTCGACAATTACCTGCTGACTTTGTTCTCTTTTTTCACTCAGGTCCCTGGAAGCTACGGCTTCATTTCCCTTTTTGGTGACTTCCTCTATCCGCTCTTCACACTGCTCCTTCACCTCTTTCATCTGATTGATGCACTGGTTCCTTTGGTGACAGGAAGGACAAATATTTATGGAGTGTCTGTACATGGAGCAGTTCTGGTGTGACTGTGAAATGCATGTCAGAGACACAATCATTGTTTTCCTGCTTAAGGCACTTTCTATCTGGAGAGGGCACTTAAGGAGGGCTACATGTGTTTTTAAAAAAACCGTATTAACAGAAGCTTACTAAAAACGTGTTATGTTGTTCTAAAACAGATGAACTTTATTAGTTAGTAAAAACAATTTTTAAAACTACAATCTGATTCAGCCTGAGCTGACAATTAACTAACATATTCTGGGGCACTGCTTTAGCTTTCTGCCTGAAATTTGTTTTAAAGAGTATCTCAACACGCAGCAGAGTGTGAAGAAATTGCCAGAACTTTTAGTCATAGGTCCTCCTTTTGCAAATAAGGAAGTTACTGTTAGACGTGCACCAGGGTCAGAGAGAGAAGTTGGTAAGGCAGAAACTGGGAATCAGGCTTACGGTTTCCTGCCTCCATGCCCTGTGCTCTCTGCCACACAGTCTGCCATTCTTGAGTCCCAGGCATGCTAGAGCCAAGAGTAGCATGACACTCAGTCTCCAACACTGTAATACATCCTTCAGCTCAAAGCATTTCCTCGGTCATACACGCCCCACACAGAGGGTATAAGGCACTTGAGAAAGAACGAAAGACAGTTCCCAACAGCTTATAGATCAAGACCTTGCTGGAAATTTCACCTAAATCAGTTCTCACAGTGTGCGAACCATAGAAGGTACACTCCTGCACAGTCACTTAAACACAGCAACGGATTTATAAAGTGAAAGAACTAAATGTGTTCAATTCATTGTTATCAAACAATATCACAAAATGCAGAGTCAACAAATGGGTGGGTGCTCATTTTAACCTACAAAGAGTTAATAAAGTCTAGTGGTCAATACTGTTTTCACCTGTTACCAGCCCTGCCAAAATCAAGAGCGAAGAACCTTTCCCTCTCTGCCTCGTAGATGAAGTTCAGCTTCCTGGTTGCAGCCTGACGGATACAGAGAACAATCTCAGTAGGTGACTCAAACCTAAACTTGGGTCATGCAGATTGTGACAGTGTTACTTCTTGCAGGCTTTGGGCCTGTTTTTCTTACATGTTCACAGTACATGTCGAGGCAATAAAACACAAATAAACCAAGTTGTCACAGAGTCAGTTCCAACTCCAGGCGACCCCATGTGTGTCAGAGTAGAACTGCTCCAGAGTAGAACAGTTTCAATGGTGGATTTTTCAGCAGTAGGCTGTTAGGATTTTCTTATGTGGTGTCTCTGGGTAGGCTTAAACTTAAACCACCAACTTTTTGATTAGCAGCCAAGTATGTTAGCTCTGCACCACCCTGGACTTTGTCCAGGCAATAATTGGAGCAAAATTGTAGGGACACAGAAGATTTGGCCACCAGTGATTTTTCTAACAGTGTAACTTATGACCAGAATATCCTTACTGGACTGTGCTGAATACAAGACTCCATTTGGGCAGGTGACCCAATCATCCACACACTGCTGCAGTATTACTATAACTTCCAGTACAGCTTCTGTAACCTCTGTTTCCCCCTGGCATAGAGATGAGATAGTGAGCAGATTCACGTGTCAACTTCAAGTGCTTTGAGGAGAAAGATGGGAAAGCTGTGTTTGGATGGAGCACAGTAATCACTTAGTGATGTCTGTCACGGGTGAAGGAGTAGAGGATGTGTGTTTGAGGTGTTAACAGACTAGTTTTGAGGAAGGAGCACTGAATGTGCAGCATTGCCTTCTATGAAAGAATTAGACTAGACAGGGTATTTTAATTGGGGGGCTGAAGCTATGCTTCAGGGGGCCGATGAGCATCCAAAAATTGAATGCACAACTTTATGAATATATCCATATATTAATCTGCTAACAAGGTATCCATACCATTTATCAGATTCTCAAAAGGTTCTATAAGCCAAGAAAGTTAAGAACAACTAGATTTTTCCAGCATCCAACATTCCATGAACAATATCTTCTTGTAAAAGGTATAGGGCCTTGGATACAACTAGTGAGACAAATATAGCTAAAAACTAGCTTTTAGTCTAGCTATCAACCTCCTAGGAGAAAAGGGAATGTGTCTGCATGTGTACTCCACCAAGATGAGAGTCACACACTCCCTTCCGTAACACTGTGCTCAGCTCATCTTGAGCTAGGTCAACAACATGGACCAAGCGAGGACATTAGTAGTTTTTATAGTTTTTAAGCATAGGCACTGACAAA